GCACCGCCATCTACGTCGTTTAGAGGCCCCGCCTGGCAACTGGCAACCAACGCAGCAAGTGTCTCCGGTTTGGCATCCTCCTCCAAGACCTACCTGGCCTTTTGTGGCACCTCCTGCGGTTGAATATCCACTTCCAGTGTCTACAGCAGCGGGGCCCGGATGGAACCATTCTTTACAAGGACATAGAGCGGACCTACAGCCACCGCCGTGGCCGGTCCAGTATCCCCCGCCGGGTCAATTTTTGAATGCGCCGGACCTTCGTATACCGTCTGAGCCAGTTCGGCCTCCGGCACATCCCAAATGTGACCGCAAAAAAGACCAGGGTGAACGACGCTGCCCTAGTCGGCAAATGGGTCAAGTGACGCATCGTCCAACAATGCCAGTGGTCCCGTACTGTTTCACCTCTGATGAAGAATCCATGTTCGACACAATCTTTAACGCCAGTGTCACTGAGCTAGAAGACCAAATAGCTGGTCGCGAGCCTCATGACACCTTTCCAACTGCAGCTCCGCTGACGCCATTCTTGCAGTACTGTTTTTATGTCTTTCAACATAAAAGCAATCCGCTGCATGATAAATGGCTGCTTTTCCGCTTTCACGAGGCCCAGTGTGGCCGAGCTCGCAAGCAAGTCTCATCACATTGGGTTGTGTCTTGGTCATTGTGCACTGATGCCATAATGCTTCAAACCAGAGCATTTGTGCTCAGCAGGTTCCCTGAGTGTCTTCCTGCGGCATCAGTTGAGGAGGCCGTACTTACACAGTTTTGCAAAATTCTGTGGACCTCCCGATGCCCTTTTCAAGAATGCATGGAACGTCGAGCGTATGCGTTTAAAACGCCATCGTCTGAAGCGGTAGTCTTGGCTTTTCCTGTTGCGCATTTCCCGGGTCCGCCCAAAGCGCCGGGAGAGTGGGCAGCATGGGTCCATGGCACAGATTTAAAAGGTGCTCAAGGCATCCTAGCCTCGGGCCGAGTGCTGGCTACGGCCAAGCAAACATTAAGCTTGAAACTCGGCCAGACATCATTTTCGTTCTTTTGCCGATGCAGTTCCAACCCTGATTGGATTGAATCTTGGCAAGATATGATCGGGGCCATGCACTGGAGCACAAAAAACAGCTGCGGCATTGTATTTTCTGGACGAATTGCCGGAGAGGCATTTAAAGCTCAGGGAGCAAACGTATCGCTCGAAAATGCGTTATGCAAGTTTCACCCGTTTGTCCACAGTCCAGCAAAGGACAAGAGGTGGTGTGTGCGAGAAATCAACGCCAGGATTGACACCATTTTTCTGGTGTCTGGCCTCAATGAGGCGGATTTTCCGCATCATTCCACCCAGTTTGGCGAATCGTTACCGCCTATTCAGGACAGGCCATCTCACCGACGTGAGTTGAAGCCTGGCTTTCTGGCCATTGAAGATCAGTCTTGGGGCCCTTGGAAACCCTCAACAGAAGGTCAAAATAGTCAACCTTCAGAGCCTCCACAGCAGTCCCTTGAGGACTCAGATATTCTGCCAGAAGGTGAAGCAGAGAATCTGATGGCTTCATCGTCTGTATTCGCCAAATAAGTGTCTCACGTCGTGTCTCAGCAAAGGTGGCATCCGCGCCAGTCAACAAAGTGTGCCTCCATTCCGTTCTGTTTTCACTTTATAAGCTGTGCAGCCCTCTCGGCGTATGCACGCAATAGCTATATCTACGTTTTTAGAACGCAGCGCAGCCCTCTCGGCTTATGCGCGCGAATATAATTCAGATTTATAACATCGAAGCGCGGTGCAGCCCTCCCGGCGTATGCACGCAATAACTATGTCTACATTTTGACAACGCAGTGCAGCCCTCTCGGCGTATGCACGCGAAGACATGCAAATATATCATGTCGCAGCTCAGTGCGCGCTGCAATGAAACCCTTTCGGCAAATGCACACGCACGGCCGAAATACAATCTTTGGCCTTCTTGGCTTCTTGTGTGTGTCCAACCCTGTAACCAAGGGTTCAACAGTCGACCTCATTTCTTTTGAGCAGGGGGCACAAGCCCAGGATGATGACTTGTGCCAACGAAGCTAGTCATCCTGGGGGATACCAGACCTGATCAGTCTGGCGTACCTGCAAATGGCAGACAGGACCCAATCTGCCGATACAAATTCCTTTTTCATAGTTTTCTTCAATGTCAACGCCAGTTTGAAACATCAGAGGTATTCAGGAGCAAGATGTACTTCAGTGACAGCAGGCCTAGCCTGTCTAAGCTGATGTGGCTCGCAGATCAGAGGTACCAGCATTGGCTGTCAGGAAGGTTGCTTGAGTGTGTGTGTGTGTGTGTGTGTGTGTGTGTGTGTGTGTGTGTGTGTGTGTGTGTGTGTGTGTGTGTGTGTGTGTGTGTGTGTGTGTGGTGTGTGGGTGTTGGTGTGGTGGGGGGGGGTGGGTGGTGTGTGGGGTGTGTGGGTGTGTGGGTGTGTGGGTTTGTGGTGTTGGGTGTGTGGTGTGGGTGTGGGTGTGTGGGTGTGGTGGGTGGGTGTGGTGTGGGTGTGTGGGTGGGTGTGGGTGCGTGGGTGCTGGTGGGTGTGCGGGGTGCGTGGGTGGGTGCGTGGGGTGCGTGGGTGCGTGGGGTGCGTGGGTGCGGGGGTGCGTGGGTGCGTGGGTGTGTGGGTGTGTGGGTGTGTGGGTGTGTGGGTGTGTGGGTGTGTGGATGTGTGGGTGTGTGGGTGTGTGGGTGTGTGGGTGTGTGGGTGTGTGGGTGTGTGGGTGTGTGGGTGTGTGGGTGTGTGGGTGTGTGGGTGTGTTGGTGTGTGGGTGTGTGGGTGTGTGGGTGTGTGGGTGTGTGGGTGTGTGGGTGTGTGGGTGTGTGGGTGTGTGGGTGTGTGGGTGTGTGGGTGTGTGGGTGTGTGGGTGTGTGGGTGTGTGGGTGGGTTCGAGATGTCGGCGTCTCCTACATATCTTTCATTCTACTGGCTATATACGCGGCTATACGTCAGTGCCATGACATCTCGAGGTGGAAGCAGTTCAGCGTTGACGTGAAGGCAATGGATTCGGATCATTCGGGATAATTCGGGATCACTCGGGAGATCATGCCGTATCATGCTCCCCCCTGCTCAGAGGATGCAGAGCAGATCGTGGAGGAGCTGGCGGGGCTCTATGACAAGGAGCCTCCGGAGTTCATCGACGTTGTCAGGCCGCCCGGCCAGCGCCCAGCCAAACCAACTGCGAGTCCTCGCGAAAAAGTGAGTTTGAGGAGTTGGAGTTTGGAGTTTGGAGTTTGGAGGTTGGAGGTTGGAGGTTGGGAGGTTGGGAGGTTGGGGAGGTTGGGGAGGTTGGGGAGGTTGGGGAGGTTGGGGAGGTTGGGGAGGTTGGGGAGGTTGGGAGGTTGGGAAGGTTGGGGAAGGTTGGGGAGGTTGGGGAGTTTGGGGAGGTTGGGGGAGGTTGGGGAGGTTGGGAAGGTTGGGGAGGTTGGGGAGGTTGGGGAGGTTGGGGAGGTTGGGGAGGTTGGGGAGGTTGGGGAGGTTGGGGAGGTTGGGGAGGTTGGGGAGGTTGGGGAGTTGGGAGTTGGGAGTTGGGAGTTTGGAGTTGGGAGATCGGAGTTCGGAGTTGGGAGTTGGAGCTTGGAGTTGGAGGAGCGAGCTTGAGTTGGAGCAGCGCGTACGGTAAGGCCAAAGGAGGTCGCCCCGCCTGCTACGCCGTGGACATCACCGCCGCCCATGCTGATGAAGTCCCCTTCCGATGAGCTCTTCGAGGACGGGGCTTCTGACACCACCTTTCACCCTCATCCAATGCATGTCTGCAGGAGCCTGAGGAGGGCGAAGTCGACCATCTTCGGCAGGCTGTGCAGTGCAGTCCTGCATCGCAACATCTCCTTGCTGCATGTTGCTCGCCTGTGACTGCTTCCAGGAGAGTCACGCTGTGGAGGTGCCGCCTCTTGCTGAAGTGCTAGCAGAAGGCCAGGGACTGGATACTCAGTGACCGCACTGCTGGGCCTGCCTTTGAACTTCCTTTGAATGGCAGGTGAGGCCATCTTGGCGGAGATGCAGCCCAAAGAAGGCCTACATCCTAAAGCTCCTAAAGCCGATGATGCACAAGGCTTTGACAAGCCAGAAGCAAAGAAGACGAAGAGTAATGGCAAGAAGGACTCCAGGGTTCAATCGGGCTCATGATGCACCATGTGCCAATGCATGCCAATACTCTTTTAACGCAATGCTTCTTCGACGCAGCAGTCGAGACGCGCGCGAGTCATGCACGTGGGGGTAAACTTGCAGCGCGTTTGCAGCATCTTTGAACCTCTGTAGGATCGCACCAGAGAGCGAAAACCTGAGGCCAAGGACAGCCAAGCTTCCCGGATCAGCCTTTTTCCCCTTTCACGAAGAATGTGCGGGCAGGAGCGGCGTCGCGCGCGGAAGCGTTCCAGCAGTGGCCGGATCCCCTTGCCCACTGTAGCTGTAGCTTTGCCTTAGCAGCGCCCCAAAGGCAGCTCCCGCAGCCGCAGCCCGAAGAAGCTCGAAAGGAAAACCTCGGAGGCGGGAATCCGGCTGTCAGGCTGTGACCGAAGCAAGTCGTGCTTGTCCAGCCTGAAGAAGAATCCATAGCTAGTCGCAACAAATATCTCACAACATCGGGGTTTCGTGTTAAGTTGCAGGTCGGGCGGAAGGCAGGGCGCCGAGATCGCAAGTGTCGGACGCTGAGGATCTCTGACGCGCAGAGATTTCAAGGGCATGTCAAGGTGGTCGTTGACAGTGGGCCAACGGTCGCTTCTGATATGGATATGCTTGCTTGTAGCTGCACGAAGGTGAGTAAAGTTGCTATCCGCAGACATGTGTATTCGCAAGCTTGTCAGCACTAGCCCCAAAGCTTCACGAGGTCAAGTTGCGACTGAGAGCGATGAATCCGTGTGAGACGCAGCCTTGATGCAGAACACCTCTTGGGTAGATCCCAGTAGCCTGCTACAAGTGAGAAAAGTCACACCGTCAGCCTCATGCAGGCCGGTTTGCGATTTGTTTGCGTCCCATTTCCTTGAGTTTCTTGACGCCAGGCGTATCACTCGGTGTACACGAACGAGAAGCGGACAAATGTGCACCCGCTACAGATAGAGGGAGACGAGCCTCACACAATGCAGTTTAGACAGCATCGACCCAGGTGACCATCAACCAGAAGTCTCGGTTTGGCATAGGACCCACAAGATTGCACAGTATGGCCTTTCGAGTCAAAGCTGTCGGCGCTTGACATCTCTAGGAGACGTTTACTTCGTCGCCAATGCCATGGGCATCTGTGAGGTCGTGGAGGATGAGGCGGTCCCACAGTCCCACGGAGTCCCACGCCAGTCCCACAGTTGCGGCTTCGGTCATCTGCTCCCTTTTTGCGCCTTCGCAGATCAAGCGCATCAGCCCCCAGCATGTGCATATGCAGAGCGGGCGGAAGTTGGAGGCTGATTGTCTGACTGGGGTCACACCAGCTCAGCTCCATGTTAGCGATGTTCAGGCGCAAGTGATCCTCAAGCTGTACGGTTTCAACGGGAACTTCGACGTAGATCGCCTCATGACCCTCGCCTCAAGTCTTGCGGTAACCATTGAGCAAATTTCATGCAATTGCCCAAGGAATGTGAAGAGCATGATGGGGTTTTGGCCGGATGAGGACACTGTTTGGCTCAGACCAGCTGAAGCATTCGGATGCCCAGTGACCAAACAACTTAACAACCAGACACCATTCCGCAACCCTCGGCTGCCTGGGCAGGACTTCAGGCGCTATTTGATCGCCGAGCCCATCGGCGTGCAAACCTTGGGTAGCTCATGGCCACGGCTAGCCGACATGCGCCTACATGCATCGACATGCACCGAAGGTGAACGCGACCAACTTTGGAGGCACCAGCTTCTCGCCTGGCGTACGGGTGTGGGCCGGGCCCTGAGCCCTGAGCCACGAGGGGTCGGAGGGTGTTGGGGGGGGGGGGGGGGCGGGATGGACATGTTTGGATTGTCGCGGGCTTTTCGCCAGGTTGAATTCTCCGCCTACTTCCTGTGGTGACCTGTGGAGCAACTGCGAAACAGCATGAAACAGTATGGCCTGTCTCTTCAGCGCGATAGGTACCCAAAGGACTTCCCCAACGTTCGGGACTCCGGCCCGGCGGTCAGAGACTAAGGCCGCGGCCATATCAGCGGAGCGAGAGCACACACCGAGGCCTAATGCCCACGCATTCAGCCGACCCTGAGCTTGACCGACCTGCCTACGTGCTCCCAGTTAGAGGGCACTTGGGGGGGTCTCTTTTTCTCTTTCTCTCTCTCTCTCTCTGCAAAGTGTGTCTGCCTCCCAAAATGAACCCTTGCGGGGCCGTTTGACACTGATGAGCTTTGCATTGTGGGGTTTGGCGCGGCTTCTAGGAGCTGCTGAAACAGGTGATCGATGCCCGCCATGGCACGCAGACCATCATGGGGATCAGTCGCAGCCTCGATATTCATCGTTTTTGTTCGTTTTGCAAGGCGCTTTTTGCCAGCATTTCATGTTTTGGAGATTTTCGCTGTTCCTCGCTGTTCCTTTTGACCCTCATGCAGATGGCGCCGTGCCCGCCATCGCAGAGGCCCATGCGGCCAACGCCTCAATGTTGAGAGCCGCAAGTGGTGCATGAAACGCCATCGTGCAACATATTTTAGCCAGCGTTGTTGGCGCTTCTCTCATCTCGTCGCCATCCTCGTCATCATCCTCATCATCATTCGTCCATGGGCAATGTCCTTTTCAGAGACTCTCAGGGCCTGGGCCTGGTCAAGAGGCAGAAGCAGTTGGAGTGCCACCCAACGCGCAAGTGCTCCGAGCGTACTTACCGCCCTATGCCACCCCGTACCGCATTTTCCCCCACTCTACCGCATTGCTCGCCTGCTGTTTTGGTGTTTTTGGATTCTTCCCTTTCGTGGCAGGTACCTCGAAGAGTGCCGGCTCGAATGGGAGGAGTATGGAGAGAAGCTGAAGGCAACCTCCATGTCCATCATAATGGCTCATGGCGTTTCACGGTAACGGGAATATTCAGGAGCTGGGGGCACCGAAGCCGTGCCCACCGTACCCGTACACCCTCAAGATCGTTGAGGCACGGGTCTTTTCGGGCCTGGCAGTGACCAACTTCACACAGTCACACAGTCACCCGGATGCGGGACCTAGTAGAGGCTTTCATGAAAGAGAACGAGGATGACGCACTGTCCCACTCCCGGATTCCTGGATACTTCCATGTTTCCTGTGCACCTCCTTGCAGAGCGAAGAGTAACATGTCGTTCCCTGTTCCAAGGGCCAAGATGAGCAGATAGAGATGATCTTCTGAGCGTTTTTTAGTCTTTAGCCTGTTCAGCCTGTTTAGCTGTTGTTTTCGACCGCCCCGGGCCACCCGCCCTCGCAGAAAAAGCGCAGCTTGCAGTTTTATGCCAATCTCCCTATAAGTTTCTCTGTTCCTTTTTTTTTGGCGGAAAGGGACTCTGTGGAGGCACGGTTTTGCCCACATAGTGGGTTTCAAGGGCTTTGTACTCAGCTAAGCTTGTGGTGTGAAGAGAGAACCGCGCCATGCTCTGCTGGGCCAAGATGCTGCTGCCGGCTCTCCGCGCTTTTTGCGTCTAAAGCCCCCCCTTCGTCACTCCTAGACTCACGTAGCAGCAACGGCGGACCGGGGAGTGGGTTCAGACATGCAACTCTGAACGGTCGTCCAACTCTGAACGTGTGAGTGTTGACACGCTCTTGAGCCACATGCGCCGGCCTTGACATGCGCGCGCGCCCTGTCTGCAGAATGCGGATGCGACCTCCAGGCAGCTCTTGCAATGGCTGGCACTGGCCGGGAAGGAGCCTTGTCCGGTTTTGAACAGCTCGATGCACAGCGCATCACTCAGCTCGTCGCGCGCGCTGCGGTCAGAGATGTTGGAGCTCCTGAATCCCGCGGAGCCTTGCCGAAATCATCCGAGGCATCCCGGCCGCCTTGGCCAGGCTTCGTGGCGCGGTGGCCCGCAAAGAGCCAAAAGGCCTTGTTCCTGGCCATGGCATGCAATCCGCGAAGATGGCAGCAGACTTCCTCGTATCCGGAGAAGTCTTGTGTCTGGGACGAGAGATGTCATTCAATGTCGTGCAGCAAATTCGTGTGTGTGGCACTTGCATTAAGCATCATGAAGCCGAGGCCGCAGTTGGAGCCGCGACAGCTGGCCCTGACAGCTTGGTCCTTGGCCCGTCTCGCAGCGACAGCCGGCCGGGAGCATGCCGAGGACGTTGCGGTGACACACTGCTTACACGAATTTTACACATATCTGCACATTCTCGTGAGAACTTGGGAAGTCGCTTCTTTAAGCACCTTGTTGCATTGCTTGAAAAAACAGGCTTGGGAGCCTCGTGGCAAGATGGCAGCGTGCTTAGAAGAGAGGCTTCAAGAGTTCGGCCCACACGAGCAGCTCGGCTCTGTGAAAGTCTGCGATGCACAGATCTGATGCAACTTCCATAGCATTGATGCTTTGAGATTCTATGAGGGGGAGCCATGCTCCGGATGTGAAGGTTGTCGATGATGCTCTGGGCCTTTGCGGCGGGCCCTTCTGGTAAGGCTGGTCAATCTTGGGCCTGCACACTGCACACATCCCTTCGTCCCCTTCCCCTCCCTCCCCACATCTCCCTCGCAAAGTTGAGGCTGCCCGCGATGGCCATCACCTTGGAAGTGAGAGGCGCAAGGACAGAGACATACGGAGAGTAGGGCCAACATCAGGGTAAGGCCAAGTGCTCGGTAATCGCAAGGATGCCGCTGTCATTTGCCATTGAAAGGATCTGGCCGAGATGCTGGCACCTGAAGCTTTGAGAAAAAGTGGTCGCAGCCAGCCCACTTTTTCAGTTTTTCTTTCTAGGCATTCTAGGAATTAAAGCTTTATATAGGCTTTTCAGGGCTTTAAGGGTAGGAGCACAGAGGGCCACTCTCGGACTCTACTCAGGAAAGCTCAGCGAAGCCACCTTCCTGAACGTCAGCAATGCGCCGCGAGCCCAGCTGGCCCAGGCTGTCTTCGGGCATTGTGGGCATTCTGGTTTGGAAGGGTTTGGACTTCAGGCTCTGGTCGTGTGCTACCCTCCGTGTGCTCCTACCCCGACTTTCCATGGCAGCGGCCGCGCGCATGGCCACAGCCGATGCCTCTGAGCTCTTGCCACAAGCGCTGGCCAACATCGCTTGGGCGCTGGCGCTCTCCCAGCACGACGTGCAAGGAACGGCCGTCGACAGAGCAATGACCCTCGGTCTGATCTGGAGTTTCTAGAGCACTGGCCAACTCTGTAACTCTGGCGATGCGGTTTTTGCAGACCCTGTATCCTTGAGCCGTGCCTGCAAGCAAGCTCGGCAGCAGGACGGTGGCTGCCGAAAGGGCCATTAGCCGTGGGCGCCTTGGAAATTCAGCACCTGCAGCCTTGCCAGTGCATCCACGGAACTGCTTGAGGTTCAGAAGAGTTTCGCCCGGCAGAACTTGTGGCACTTTCCTGGGCGCTGGCAACCAGACACGAGGTGCGGGCGGTGCACTGGCTAGTGGATACGCACGGTATGAGCTGGTGGGTTGCAAACTTTTGAAGGCTTCTGACTGCTGCCTGCCACAAGGCCTGTTGTCTGTTGACATGTGCTAGCTTATGCCGGCATGCTGACTGCATCTGACTGCCAGACACCACCAACCGTTGGAGAGATGTGGCCATGTCAGCAGCAGAAGTGGCCAACTCGCATCTGCTCAGTGGTGTGGAAGGTCCTTAAATCTGAGTTCACCAACCTAAGGCAGCGCTGGGCTACAACAACATCAATCCCAGATCACGTCCAGGATGGTGTGGTTCGTCAAAAGACCGCCTTGATCTTCAGTTGCAATTGTAGGAACACGGCTGCTGGCACAAGCTGCTTGGGCCCTTTGACTCAATTTGGACCCCAGCTGCATGATTTTCATTGTATCTGCCTGCGCACAAACAGGCTGTTCCTGTTATGATCCAAGGCCTGCGCCAATTTTCGCACCGACACTTCCTTCCAGCCCTTGTGCCACGCCTACAATGGTTGACTTTATCGAGGATCGATCATCTGCGCAGTGTCAATTTGCGCAGGTTCCACATGTCAACCTCACAGCAAAGGGCTGCAACTGGAACTGCAAGTGGTGCTCGTACTGCACTGGTCTGAGGTGGAGTCAGCTGGCTGAAGCACTCGATGCAAACCTCCGGCAAGGCAAGGCAAATGCCTTTGAGCACTCACACTGCTGGCACCCTCGCTCAGACTCAAGCATGGAAGGTCAAGCTGTAGCCTTGGTTGACTTGGAAAGAATGCAGGTCCTTGCAGCTAAGGCGAAAGGTTCACGGACAAATTCATAGATCACGCAGACGAAGACAAGCGGTGCAGACCCCTACACCCCAGAAATCTGCTAGAACCTAATTAATATCACAGCTGTTCTGTGATACAGGTTACACCAATGCCCCTGCTTGTGAAACCGGCTGCAATGTCAGGGAGTGTGCAAGGCATGGCGGTTCCACGCCCAGTTTGTGTCTTGCAGAGTCGCTACAGTGAGCAATACGTTTGCACCGTAAAGCAGGTGCGCGTTTCTGGACCGGAGAAACTGGAGATTGATTTCTTGGCACTGGGTGATGGCTCACTTGGCCCCTTGCAGCCACCCAGTGAGTCAAGCCTCAGGTGGAGCCACTGCACACGAAAGCCAAGGAAGTTGAAGGTTTTCATGGAGATTGACGAGACCGAAGGTGACACAATGGAGGGGACCATGTTTTTTGATGGTGTCCCTACGACTGGCACTGTGACGTTCGTGTATGGGAGGGACGGCTACGGCGAAGTAGTTCTCCACTTGGATGGAGCAAGTCTTCAACCGACAGAGGAGGCCGAAGTTTCTGTCAATGAACGGATCGAGAGGTTGCGACAAGTGAACATCGGGGCCCTTGATGAGGAGGCAGTCCTGCAACATGTGATGGAGCTTAGCCAGGCAGAGGCTGACTTGGAGAAGATTCGCGCTGGTTGCGGCCATCCCTACCCGTCTGGCCAAGGATGTGCAATGGGTGTGGGCACAGCTTGCGCGGTGTGAAGGCCCTCAGTGCCGACCTAGAACTGAAACTACAAGACCCACACTTCGTTGCGCAGCGCTGCGATTTGGACGGCTCAGGCGATCTCGCTGTGCATGAGCTGAAGCACGCGGCACAAGTCTTTGGGTTGAAGCTCTTGCCTTCGAAGCTTGAGGAATTGATGCAAGGACAACAGCGGATCACCAAAGATCGCTTCGCAGAGATCGTGAAGCAGGAGGCTCAACTCCACCAGCTCTCTCGACGCATGGTGCCGCACTCTCTGCGAGGCATGACGCTTGGACCGCTGGAGCAGTTAGCAGAGGTGTTTGTAACTTCTGGCTGGCTGGCTGGCAACAGAGTGTGAAATCTTCAATGATGACCATGCGCAAGCCATTGAGAGCAAGAAGATCTTCCGCAAAGCGCCCAATCTCTATGCTTTGGACACCTTTGTTGTGACTCCCATGTCAAAACCGGGCCACTGCGCAGCGCGTGATCAGGATACAGGACAGACCGTGCCCCCGGCATATGATGAGACTTCGTTCGCAGAATTGTTAAATCCGCATGGCCTTTTCGTCCATTGCTTTGTGTCACATTTCTGGGGCCATCTCTTCAGCAAAACTCTCAGAGCTCTGCGTCTGTGGGCGGATGAAAACTATCGCAAGGCACATATCGAGCAGTCGCAATCCGTTGTTTTTTGGGTTTGCCTCTTTGCCCTGAACCAGCATGAGGTGGCTGAGGAGGTTGGAGACAAGCCAATGCAGGGGCCATTCAACGCTGCTCTGGCGCAAGCGGAGTATGGTGCAGTACTGGTGTTGGACGAGCAGATCAATCCATTCAAGAGGATTTGGTGTTTGTTCGAGGTCTTTCGCCTCCACGTGCTACAGAAGCCACTAACTTTGGTTTGCGAGGAGGGCTCGCTTTCCAACACTGACTTGAGCTTCAACAGATCGCAGTAGCAACTTGCGTGAAGTTGTGGGAGACGTCCGGCAGCAAGGCGTCATCTTCCTCCCAAAAGGACAAGGAGCAAATATGGAAGGAGATCGTTGACTCCAGGCACAGGTCAATGGTATGTGCTTTTGAGGAGGTCTGGAAGGATGTAGACAGCTTGGAGGAAAGATTCTCGGATTTTGACTTTCATGTCCAGTCCTTGCTATCAACAAGCCTGCTGCCGGGATTGCTGCTTGCTGGCCATCACAGGGGTGCGCAAAACTGCTGCCTTCATGGTGCAAAGCTCACTGAGGATCTACTTGATAGGCTTTGGGCAAGCCAAGAACAAGTGGGCTGTTCGTGCTGCCACGGCCATGATTGGGCGGGCTGGTTAGATGAAATGCTTCGGGGCAGGAACACAGTTTCAGATGTAGCCATCACAAAGTCTTTGCTGAGGAAGCGTGCCAACCCAGCAGCCCGAGGAGATGATGGCTCCACTGCGCTTATCGTTGCTGCTTATCATCGCGGCCATGAAGCCGTTGCCAAGCTTCTGTTGGATCATGGCGCAGATGTGGCTGCTAGAGCGACTGTTCAAGGCGAGGATCGCAATGCCTTCAAGGGCGCTGCTTGCACTGGCCACTTGCCTTTGCTCAAGTTGCTAGTGGAACGTGGGGCCGGAGCATCCGCAACCAACACCGACTGCTTGCATGCGGCATGGCATGCTGCGCTGGGTGGCCACGAGGCAGTGGTCAAGTTGCTGTTACAAATCCGGCCAAGGGCCGTGCTCGACAACAATGGCAGCTCAACAGTATTGCATGCTTCTGCTTTGGGTGGCCATGCGTCAATTGCAAGGCTTTTGTTGGAGAATGCAGCAGATTTGGAAGCGACCGATGGCAAAGGAGCCACTGCGCTCTTGGGGGCCATCCAAGGCAAGAGCATCTCTGCCGTGAGACTTCTTTTGGACTTTGGTGCTGAGACTGCAGTTGTTTCGTTCGATGGACGGACTGTCCTACATTTTGCCGTGGCCAGTAACCACGAACCAATTGTCAAAATGTTGCTGGAACACCGAGCCGATGTGGCACTTGCAGATCGTCGTCATCCTTTGGGTAGTGTGCTCACCGCAACCTGCCTTGGCAACAGTTCCATGGCGCGGCTTTTGTTGCAACATGGTGCTTCTGTGCCTTCCACAGGGAGAGGTAGTCATTTGGGCATAACGTGCGATGGATGTGGAGCCAAGCCGATCGCTGGACACCGCTTCAAGTGCAGCGTCTGCGACGACTATGACCTTTGCCGCAGATGCTTCGACAGGAAAGACCATTTGCAAGCAGGCCGCTGTGCTGATCATGCCTTTGAACGCGTTGAGACCTGTCGGTGGCAAGCCTTCTTTGATGGCCTCGTCAGGCCGCCATGAATTACTCTCGTTTTCTGCTTCTCTTGGCAGTGGTTCCCGCTCGGCGACAATTCCCACTGGCTGCATTGCCTGCCTTGACTTCTGCGCTGTCAGCATGTGAGGGCCGCCCTCAACTGCAGATAAGAGAATTGCAGCAGGACGCATTGTCAGAACGTATTTCTCCAGCACCGGGCCTTCTCCTTGCACCCTTTCCCGTTTCACTGCTTGGTTTCTCTTTCGCAGTAGTAGCGCCAGCAAGCAGCCGCAGCAGGGCGAACGAAAACGGGATCCGGAAGCCACGGGTCTCACGAGTCAAATCTGACCCCAAAGCCCAAAGTGCTTGACGGGAGATTGCAAGTTCGATGCCTTCCTAGACTTGCTTTTCGCTACTGGAGTCAGGCAAGAACCAAGTCGGTAAACATAAGCCCGGACAAGGAGAATTTAAAGGGATTGTTGATCCTGCAACCCAGATCCCTGCGGATACGATCTTTAGAGAGTGCGTTGGTCCCCTCAGCAGTACGCTCCTCCTCCAACATAGAGGGATTCCTGATATCTTTAAGACCATCTTACTCCACATTAAGGAGCCAGTTCAGGTCTTGTATGGTAACCCCTCTTTGGTTGTTATGGAATTCTGCAGAGATGGGTTTTCCAGCTTCCGTAGCCGCATCCTGCAATACTTCCTGGAGTTTCCCCCTCATGCTACCTGCGTAAGGCAAATGCTCAAGGTATTTCGCGCTGAGCTCATTGCCTCTGGTCAAGAATTCACTACCTCAGTCAGGAATCCCGGCCGTAATCTGACGAATTCTGAGCCCTCACATTCTTGGACTGCCGGCCTTACCGCCTTCCAGATGGACCCCGCCAAAGCTAAGGGTAGTTCGGGGTCAGGCGTGAGGCACAGAGCCACTGAGTCTCTCCGTAGAAACCACACAATACTGGGAGAGGGCGGGCTCTATCAGAACAGAGGTGTCGAGGTAGAGCCAACTATGCGCAGAATGCCGCAGGATGTCCCGCCTCCAGTCAAGATCTGGCAAATGGCCTTTGGGCGCCGGGTTCCGGGACATTGAGCGTCTGCGCGTAAGTCTGCAATGCTCTGCATACATCTGGGCCGAAAGCCACCCGAGGCTTGCGGCGGCTTCGGTCGCCCATTCGCATTCACCATCCTTTGCCGTGAGAAGCTTGAAGAGAGAACAGAAGATGCGTCTCTCTCCATTTTGAAGCTCTCTCCATTTTTGCGACCTTCCGAGGCGCTCTCCGAAGAAGCTGCCAGACGCGACGATTTCGAGCCTCGACAGCCCGGCTCCCCCAGTCCCTTCTCAAGAGCATTCGCTCTGCCCACGATGCGCAAGATGATACATATGATACATATGCTTTGCTTTGTTATCAGCCCTTGTCCAAGGCTGGCAGCCTGCGTGCCGGCCTCGACCCCCAATTGGTGTACAGAGCCATGTCAGTTTTGTCAGGGTTACTTAAAACAGAGCTGTCTGCTTGAGGCTGCTTGACCTCGGCTGCCATTTTCGTGAACTGAGCCCCCCTTCTTTTGATCATGCTTTTCCCCGGCGGTGTCCAGGCGTGGGCACTCGCATCTTCCCGCCAGCGCCAGCTTGCATGGCTGGAGGCTGGGGCAGGGTACATGTACACTCTGGACGTCCTTGAACCGATCGGAAGCTATATGCAACAAGCTACGCAACAACATTTCCAGGCTTTACTACATACATATATATATATATATATATATATATATATATACGTATAGTCCATGCAAGAGTTCATTACATTGTTTTAGAACGATGAGGCTTTCCAAATGTAGCGGCACTGGCCCAAATAAGGGGATAGAAGCCAAGGCTACTGTAACTGAAATGAATTTGAGTACCTTAATGACGTCCGCTGAGCGCGCATCCGTGGTAGGAGCTGCATCCATGTGAAAAATCTTAAGAGCATCCTCTCTGCGAGCATCCGTTGTACTGTAGGAGTTGCATCCTTGTCCGAAGCCTCAAAGAAGTCCTCTCGGCGCGCGTCCGTGGTAAGTGCATCCATGTTGCATGTATTCAACGAACTATACTGACATACACGTATATACATACGATCTATATATATATATATATATACACAATATATTGAAGCCCTCAGGCGCCTTGTTGCAGTATTTGCAGTAGACATCAGCTTGAGCACCACACTGCGAGGTAATCTAGGGCCCTAAAGAAACAGTATATTTCTCCCCACAAGAAGCTAAGTGAAGCCGAGCTCTAATTATAGAGGCTTCCACAGTCGAGTGAGTGACAGAGGGAGATACATGCATGCTGCGGGTTGTGTTGTTCAAGCTCGATATCCAAACTTCTTTGCGGAAACTTCTTTTGCGGCATCTCGTGCTTCATCTTGTTGCTGCCATCCAGGAGTTTGACAAAACTAGGGATCTCCTGGGTCCTTCTATTCACGTTCCTATCATTGAAGTATACATATATATATATAGGGGACCCTTGTTTTCAAAGACTCCCATCAGGGATGTCCACAATACGTGCCATACTGACTTCGCTCATCGACAAGCCCACTGCTGATGAATGGGATCAGTGGCTTGGTGTACTTCCATGCCAAGAAGGACAAAATCCTGAGCTGGCTGGCACAGGGCTCCGAAGATGTGCGCAAATATCTGAAGATTGTCAGGAATCCCGACTTTGATGTGGACAAGAAGAGGAAGTGCCCCGACAAATGCGAGGTTGTTTTGTCGTATCCCTCAACGAAAAAGCCAAAGGAAAAGCTTCCGCAGACGACGACCAAGTGGACAGGTCGGACTCCAGCGGATATTGCTGATTTTCTGCGCACGGCAAATTAGGTTCAAATCAGGTTCAAATCTGGTTCAAATCTGGTTCAAATCTGGCGTGTCAGGACTCCCCCGATGCCGAGAGAACAGGTCCCGAAGACAACAGGTTCTGTCAGGTGTCGCTGGTAGCGTTGGGGCCGCAGACCAGCTTGGCATGAATCCGCGATAGAAACTGGCGGGCATCTCGTTAGCTGCATCGTCCATGTTATATCACAAGCATATTCATTCAAAAGCAGAAAGAGGGCTACCATTTCTTGATGGAGAGTTTGGGTTGGAAGTTGAGGACATCAGGTTCCCATTACGAAAGAGTTGAGGGATTAAGTGCTTACTTTAAAGGTTGGGAGCCTTGTCTTTCAGCTTAAGTTATGGTGAATTGTGCTGGTTTGCTTTTATTTGGGAGGGTCTATACCTGCTGCATTGAAGGCCAGGGATTTAGCTTACCGGCATGCTATTGAGATGATCATTAGCATTAGTAGTGCGAGTACTTTGGGCACTACTAATCATATGAGCATTGCCAGTAGTGCTTCTGGTACTGTTTCTCCAGTCCTATGGGGATGATTAGTAGCATTGGGATTGCTTGTGTTTCCAGTCCCTCCCCGCAGCCTCGTGGCTGCTTGGCCTAGAGGACCGCTCTGCCTTAAAAACCGCAGCTTTAATCTCCAAACCCTAAACGCTTGGGTTGTATTCTATAGTAATGTGTACGAACCCCAACAAGCTACGCATAACATTTCCAGGCTTTGGAGCGATCGAGCCGCAGGGCATTGCATGAGCTGCAGCTGTCGGAAATCGCTGCCATCTGCTGGGTGAGAGCCTCAAGATACTCAGCCACACTCTGCATGATGCAAGAAGTCGACCTTTCAGCCAGTTGTTCGCCTCCAACCTTCCCCCGATCGTAGGCGCTGAATGAAGAATCTGAGCACCCTTGCACTATGAAACGGAGGCCTGGGCGGCTTCCGAAGCTGGCGAGTCGCTCCTTGAGGACTCGTGATGGTTGCAGCTACAGTCGATAGAGGCGTAGTTGGTATAGTGGCGTATACAGGGCGGCTGTGATGACTCTTGCACAGTTGTGTCGAATCAGTTGTTTGTCACCGTCTTCGCATCACAACCTTCGTCTGTGCCGTTGCCACCATCGTTGTCAGACCACTGGCACTGCTGTCACACTACCGCAGGAGGCCACACTTGCTCAGCAACCTGTGGGATCTGGACGTTTGTGTTTGTTGTTTAGGGCATTTTTTGCTTCTTATTAAATGGCAAACGGACTGTTTTTGATTCTGGAACCTTTGACGGTGCAGCCGATTTGAAGATGAACATGTTCAATGACCCGTTTAAGGATCCTCGAATGGCCCGACTCTAAGGTCAAACTCAATTTTCAACACAACCCAATCCCGAATAGCTGGCTGCCCGCTCTACGTTTGACGTGAATAAGACTTCAACATCCTGGGAATCCTGAAATTTTGAATTTTGAATTGACGTTGTTAAACGCCCTTCAACATTCTAAACTGCCCCTTAGAGTTCTTAAGTCTTTGAGTTTGTAAATCGGGCCTTTGAAAATTAAAGGTTCTCAGGGTATGGAATTCAGTTTAAAGTTTTGGGAGATCGTGCCACCCATTTAAGGATGTTAGCACTGTTAAAAAGTCGAAATTTGACCTTTTTGAAGTTTTCCATTTTTGAAGTTTTCCATTGGGCCCACATTTGACATGTCAAGAACACAAGAAAGGCACTTCAAGTGTTGGAATTTCCAAAATGAATAAGTCTTCCTCGCCCTCATTGGGCTCGTCATCATATCATGATCATCATGTTCATGAATCCTACCACGTTGGCCTTTGTATGCAGCAGTTCGTCGTCATCGCGTCCTTGTCCTCATCGTCCTCATCGTGTGCGTTGTCGTTGACATTGTGCTTGTCGTTGTGCCGAAGAAGGCATTGCTCCCCCAAGCCCAGCAGCTGATCCAAAGAGCTGTGGCTTCAAGGCCGGGCAAGCTGCGGTTGAGACATATCTACAGTGTGACAGTGCCGCGGGTTTCGGCAACCGCGGGCACCCATCTTGTTGGAGAAGATGGTGCTCAGTGGATGATCTTTGTTCCAAGTTCAGTCCCGATTGCTCCGAGTTGTAGACAGGAGTTGGTGCAGCAGTTAGCACAGTTCTCATCTGTTCTCCTCCGTCGCGTACGCAATGGTGGCCATTCGTGGTGTGAGCCTCTTGTGGGCGATCGGTGTTGTCATGTTGCCCACGGTGCTCACGAACGAAGTTGAGCACCAGCCCTCCCTGCGAGGCATCAAAGAAAGAAGCGAAGTGCAGCCAGAGGAGCCGAGCGAGGATCAGTCAGAGGAGCCGGGCGAGGAGGAGCCGAGCGAGGAGCCGAGCGAGGAGCCGAGCAAGGAGCCGAGCGAGGAGCCGAGCGAGGAGCCGAGCGAGGAGCAGAGCGAGGAGCAGAGCGAGGAGCAGAGCGAAGAGGAGCACCAGCGGCACAAACCCGGGGTCCTTTGCCAAACACAGGCCCAGAAGCAGGCAGCGAAGCAGGCATCTGTGGTGAGGCAGGTTGTCGTGATCTCGACACTGATTATTCAGGTGGTCCTGACAACGATCGTTGGCCTGCTGTACAACAAGTGCTGCCAGTGCAAACCATCACCAGAGGAGGTGCTTCGCCAGGATACAGGACCAGAGGAAGGCTTCCGGTATGGTCTTTGCGAGGGCTGCTGCCACAGCTGTCGGATCTGCTGCTGCAGTTTCTGGTGCCTTCCCATACGCTGGGCTGACACTGCCAGCTCGCCAAACGTCAAGTTTCTGGGTTTCAGCGCAGCTCTCTTCTTCTTCGAGCTTCTCTTCGTCCTCTCATTTATCCCACGCATCTTCATCGTGTCCTTGGACCCCGACAAGCCTGTGTATATACTCATCTGGGCGGCCGTGACGCTGCTCGTCCAACTGGTGCTGGTTTCGATGCTTGTGGTGAGCCGTCAGCACATTCGCCGGCAGTATGGGCTACGCCATAGCACGTGCAGCACCCGCACCTGTGACTGCTTGACCTGGTGGTTCTGTGGACCCTGCGCCGCCATGCAAGAGGCTTTGCAGGTGGAATATGTCGGTGAGCCTGTGGAGATTAAGGGAAGCAATGACTTCAAGAGTGAGAACGGCGACACCACTATATAACTGCGCCTGAGCAGTGCCCTGTGAGAGAGGAAGTACAGTAAATCCTCGTATGCAAGGGATGCAACATGTAAAGCAAAGGGATGCTTCCCGAATGTACAGATTATGTGACCACAGCGTCACCACCGGGAGACGAGCTGTCTCCTCCAGGATGAAGGCTTGACCCTTCATTCCTTTTAATTCCTTTTGTTACCAGTGCGGACAGCTGCAAGGATGATCAGATCTGCTCCGTGAGCGGCAAGGAAAACAAGCCATGCTGCCAGCAGTCGGATGCAATGCTTGCTTCATCAAGGCATGGATAGCTGCCATTCGAGCTGCAGCAACTGACGCTTGAAAAGGGACCACCAGTGAGCCTGCAGTCGACCAGGACAACTTCAAGCGGCTTCGTTGAAGCCTTGCTTCAGCTTGTGCGGGTCTTATTGTCATTGCCGCTCCTTCTTCAGAGAAACTCGCGTCAAGCTTTGTGCTTGCATGGATGCGCATGCTGGCGCCTGGGTGTCATGTGCATATTCGTAAGCACATACAATTACATATACATGCAAAAGATCGCCCTCAAAACGAGAGTGATGGGTGTGGGCCAAAAGCCAGGAGGCCGAGCCCCGAAAGGCTGCCCAAAAGGACCTGCCGAGCCTCCCACATCCGCGATATCCACAGGCTTGGGCCAGCTCCTTCAGCCAGGCAACGGGGACGCAGGGGCCCCGAAGAACGAGTTTTGGAAAGTTCGTTCCCTGGTATTTGGTCATACGGGTTGAAAGGCCGTGAAAGGTCGTACTCTTCTTGGTTCGTTCGCGCCTGTGAGGATGTTTCAGGTGCTGGTCCTTCGGGGGAATTTAGGAGGTTTTTCTTGATCGAAAGTTTTCTGTAAGATTTGGCGACTGGTTTGGCGCAATTGAAACTTGAAACCGGTCGCATGCGATACAGCCTTGACACAGCACCATTGTCTTTTTGTTTAGTCAGAAAAGAACTGACTGCATCGCCGATGCTCCAGTTCAAAACATCGTCTCTGGAAGCAGCTGGTGAGTTTCACCGATGGGCCGAGCCAGAATGGTCAACAGATGGGTGTTGTATCGCGTTGGCAAGGTGCTCTTGCCGAGTTGCGTCCACTGTCTCAATCATCTTCCACACTTTGAGAGGTGAGACAACTGAGAGAATTTGAGAGAGTCTCAGAGAGTCTGAGAGAGAGTCTAAGAGAACTGAGGTCTGACCTGATGCAGCTCATTAAGACCTGCTTGCTCAGAGAGGGAAGACGCCGAGACTTGCAGGCCCATGGAAGGCCATGAGCAGCTTGTCATGCTGTGTCGTGCGGTGTCATGCTGTGTCGTGCATGATTGGAATGCGTTTGAACTTTGACCCTCCCAAGCTCCAGGGGTGAAATGTGTGAAGAGCCTGAAGGCTGGATGGTCCACCCACAGGGACTTGGGCTGCGCCTTCGCCGAACTCACCCAGCATCGTGGTCAACGAGGACCGACGCGCAGGGGCCAGATTGAGCATCGACGAGAACCTAGAGGTCAATAAAATGTCTTTGCGTGCCATTTGAGTGGCATTCTTCTTCCTGCATGAGAGCTGAAAGGCTGAAGCCCTAAAGTAAGCCCCTGGCTATCACGAAGTTTGTGTCCGCTACTCCGATAGTGTTTGAGCCGTGGCTTTCTTGCAGCAGGAGAAGCAAGGTTTTGTGGTCATTCACAAACCCGTCCACTGGGAGGCCAGATCTCCACCCCATGTTTCTTCAGCGGATGTATGGGTGAGATAGCTGCAGCTACTTCGAAAAGCACCGACAGGTGGACAATGCCGACGGGGGGGGCGCTGCTGCTGGTCTATCGCTTAGCCGGTCTAGGCACATCCAACATCCAGGGATGCCTGAATCTTGGGTCAACACGGAGGCCGGCCCATTCCCCTCTCCAGCTACATGCAGGCCCACTTCCCAAACAGGCGCCTGTCGGAGAGCACAGGAGCCGTCGAGCTGGGGTGCCCATGTCTGTGCCGAGGCCTCTGCTGCGCGATGTCTCTGCCGGTGGTGGCTTTCTCGGTCCCTCTGCCAGGTTTGATGTTGGGTGTCGGCCTTGTGCAGCACAACCTAGTGGAGATGCAAAAGACCAACGCCCTGGACCCCTCGAAGATAATGCGTCATGAATGATGGCATGTCCCGATTGCCAATCAACAGCAAATTACCGTGGGAACTGAAGCGACCGGCAGGCAACGCTAGTCGGAAAGGCAAGAACAACGCTCTGATCCTCTCCAACAGTAGCTAATCAGCAACATGTTGAACGCATTGTTCCATTCTGCCAATGTTTACATTATTCCTTTCCTGCTTGTCATTTCCCTGTGATCCCTTCGGTGGTTCAGGTGGTGTTCGTATTTCTTCGAATGGTTTTCTCTAGTCAATCTCTCACAGTCTTGAACTTCCACATTTGGCATGGGGGTGTGAACCAAAACCAGAATCGGCTTAAGAAAGAGTCATGTCCGTATTCAAAGTCAACGGCTAATGAGGGCCTGCCTGAAAATCGAAAGTAGTAAAACTACCCGTACTACGCGCGCGGAGATAAACTAAAAAAAGACTAAGGCTTTTCTACGTGTAAAGTCTATTGCCCAAGACCACAAAGTTTGTGAGACCGCCGAAGCTGCAACTTCACTGGCAAGTTGCATGTCGGACATGTCTGACTTGAATATGTCTCCCGCGCAGGGAGGTTGGATGCACAATCCTCTGGCCTCGTGATTTGCGCGCTGACGCACGAGGCCAGATGTTGGCAGCATGGCCTCCGCTCAGGCTAGTTGCGTCGACTGTGCAGCACGCTGCAGGCCCACTTGCTCCTACAGTACCGGCAAGATACCCATGCTGTGGCCAGAGCCTCGTTGCAGGATGCCTGGGGATCGGACAAGCTTTGCTCTCCTGCCCCTGACACTTGCTCGCCTGTCCTCAAGCCGCGTCGTGCCCCATTTTCTTTTGTTCGTCTGTTCGTTAACTTGTTCGTTCCTTTGATCTACACCATGCTCATAGATTCTCTGTGCTGGAGACGCATCGCAAAGGCCCCGTGACTGTTTAGCAATCTACTGAAGCTTAAGCTTAAGCCTTTGTTGCAAAGTCGTACAACGAACAATGAGAGACTCAGATGGCCGAGCCCCGAGGCCCGAGAGTATGTTGCGCTTTGCCACGGCTTTGTGCCGGAGAACTTGCACGAGGCACAGCTTTCAGAACCGTGCGCTGCCGTGAGAGCCGCTCCAAGGGATTCACAGCCCCAAAGCATTCGAACGGACGCGTATGCCAACCCGACGTCACACACCTTCACCGGCCCAGATCCGTCTTCCAATTCGTGTGCGTGCGGGAGCTTCCAGTGAAGTCCACGCAAGTGGAGTAGCTGCGGCCACGCGGCTGCGAACCCTCGCCCGGTGGGTGCCTCAGCTTTGTGCTGTTTCGGTAGTGCGTATGTTGCTCACGAGCCGATCTGCGCAAGTGTGTGCCAGAGGCTTTCGCGCCCTTGCGGATCCTCCATGGAGGGATTCAGAGCCTCAGATGCACGTTGCTGTGAGTCTCTGATGATTTGCAAGTGTTCTGGCAGAGGCTCAGAATCTTGCGGTTGCCAAACTTGGCCGAGGCCTGGTGGTGCTGTCGATCTTGACGGGGCGTAGCTCGGCAGGGAAATTGCACTAAAGGCTGTAAGAAGCGAGAGTTGGAAAGGAAAAAGCGAAGAGGGCGATGAAGCCAAGGAAAGCATCAGATCCGATGCCACTTGGCGCATGTCGGCCACCCCGTCCTCTGCGACGGGCGCTACGCGCCGCAGGTGAGGGGATGGCTCAACAACAGCAAGCCTCAAGCAAAAAAGCGTCTCTGTTTGAACGGCAACCCCAAAAAGGAGTGGTTTTGTCCTCAAAAAGGCCGAGAAAGATGATAATTATTGCTCTTGCCTTTTCAGGCACTGCAGAAGGATCTGCAGTGGTGCCCTCGGCTATTTCTTCACCGCTTCCGTCTTGAGTTTCAAGGCGAGCTCAAATATTGCTGTGGTACAGCGGCTGGCATCACTGGCGTGGGTTTCCTGGTGTAGGTCTGGACGACCGCAAGGTCGAGGCAGGTGGTTTCCAGATAGTAGCGGTATGTGTCGAGGATCTAGATCAGGATGGACTTCTGTACCAGCAGTGCTTGTCCCGCACTGCTCTGAATCCTTTCTTCACCGTTCCGTGCAACGGTGGCAGGCCAGCCACGGGCTGCCGAGCGACCTCCAAAAAGTGCTGCTGAACAGTTGCTTTGCCGCCAGTTTGGGGAAGAAACGTTCGGTTGTTAAGCCAAGTGTGCCGCAAATGAAGGTTAGTCACGTTGAATCTGTTCTTTGTAAACGTGTGTAGTGCAGGGGCTACATAGAGACATAGAGTCAGAGCATGTCACAGTTACGACAGCCGGAGTCCGAAGCCCCATGCCCCATGACTCTAGGCCAACTGCAGCTTCAAGAAGCCAGGCCACACTTTCTTGCGACCCAGACCTGCTTGCGAGAAGCATCTAACAGTGTCCAAAAAGCCCCTTCAATCCCGGAAGGGCATCCGGGGAAGTCTTGAACCTCTGGGCAAGAGGGGTCCAGTTCTCAGCTGATTCTTTGTGCTTCTTTGTGCTTCTGCGTGCGGGGAGATCAGGACTCGCGGCCCTTCCTCGCGTGGACTGACGAGTGTCAAAAGAATTCATCTCCAGCCTGAAGAGCAGTTCCTATCCATGCCTTGGTTTCACAGTCACATCGGTCGCGATGCAGATGCCCCATTGTTTTGGCATGTTTTGGCCATGCGCCCGCTGCCACTCCACTTTTCGTAGGCTGCTTGCATGTAGGCTGGACGAGCAGCCGCAAAATGTGACGCTGATGCTAATGGAAACAGGTCTCAGGGATTTGTGTCTTTAACACCGACTCAAGCGTAGTTGCTTTCTCTGAATGTGAAAGTAGCAAAAGCGCCTGGGAGCCATGGATGCTGCTGTGGGTGCCAAGGACCTCACACTGCCTCCCGCAAAGGCACAGACTCTTTGCAGAGTGGTCCCTGCCATGGCACGAGATAGGGTGTCCTGCCAGGTGCTGTTTCTTGCAGAGGAGGCAAATCCGCGCGTTGCTTGCTTCCCAGCATTTAAAGCTGCTGGGTATGGAGCCTCCATGTGCAGGCACAAGACTACGAGAGCGAGCGAGTAGCCTCCGTGCTTCTGGGCTTCTATGGACGGCTCTTAGTTCAACACCAGCGGGATCCTGAAAAGCTTTTTGAGGTTCTACGCAGCAGAGCGTGGCGATGTTGACATGATAGCTATGCAGCTTGAGTTCGGCATGAGCCCAAACGCAGCTCGGCTTCACACATGACACGTAGCAAAAAGGGCCAGACTCAGACCATGTCAGAACCCCCAAGTATCCCTGAATAATTATTCCGAACAAGGTGCGTGACGGCTATGGGAGAACGCCTCTACACTTGGCGGCTCTCTTGGGCCAATATGAGGACACTTGGCATGGAAACCAGGTGCGTGATGGATATGATTGCAAGCTGCTACGCCAACACTCGGAGCATCTGTTTCCCCGCCCTCCTTACTTCCTCCCCCGCCCTGGTACGTCTTGCACTTTCCAAGAGTACCTACAAAATCTGCTTGACTGTAGACAAGGTGCCTTCATAATATTCAGTGAACCTCGGTGAAACACATTCCCTCTGCTGAGGCCTCACCCTGAACATTACGAGAGCCGTTCCTAGGACTGCTGAATTGCCGTAATATTAACTCCCGGCGCATGCCGATACATGCCTTACCATCAAATCAAACAGCCCTGGAACGTCCCAGGCAGGCCCCGAACTCTCCTCCAAACCCGAGATCGCTCGTAGGCTGGTGCCAAGGTTGCGCAGAAGCTCCTGGAGCATGCAAAGTGCAACGTGAACGCGCTCGACGCCCATGGTCGCACCCCACTGGGCTTGGCAATGCTCGAGCAGAAGCTTGTGGTGCAAGAGCCTGGGGCCCCGCAAGGGAACCTCGAGTTATGTGTGCAGAAGCATGTTTGGGAGGCCGTTGATTCCTTCACCAAGCCCAGAAAGCGGGCTGAGGCCAGTGCGAGAAGGCAAGCTGAAAGTGGCTGGGCTGCTCCGCAACAAGGGCGGAGCCTCGACTCAGGGTGCCCCAAAATCCCTGAAAATCCTCTTAAATGACACAAATTCGCACAACTTTTCTCCCGCATTACCCGGACATGGCTCTGAGCCAAGGAAGACAAGCTGCCTTGTACCAGAAAGAGTACCCGTGCCTCGGCTCATGTTGGAGGAAGGGAGTGTTGTGGAAGCTTCGGTTCCGCGAAGTCTTTTATGAACGACCTTTGCCATAGGGAGGGCATTGGCAGAGCTATCTTATCCAACAAGTGGCCCTTTGCTGGTGGATGAAGCTGCATACTCACTAATTACCACCACTGTGTCACTATGTCACGACCTTGCGGAAGTAAGATTCGTGAGACTCAGTCTTGTTGATGCCAAGCCCGAGGTCTGGCCCCGCGTGACAGCCGGAGCGCGTCGGCTGTCCGTGGAGGTAAATATTCCCCCCCAAGTAATGATGAACTCGCCTCAGCAACCAACTCCTTATGGAGTGGTTCTTAGAGGCGCTCGCCTTGCCCTGATGCCGGGCAGCAGAGTCTCTGCCCACGGGAAGGTGAACATAGGCAAGCCCACACGCTTTGAAGCCAAATGTTAAATGGCCCGTTAAGCCCCCACTGGGCGAAAACTGCGGTCGACAGAGAGTCGAGGTGCCGGTACAGGGTTGGCGATTTGAAACAAATCTAGGCAACTAGGCCATTCTGGACTGCAAATCTAGAAATGTTGGGATGGATAGGAGAAACTGAGGAGCAGAACCCGTGAACAAATTGCAAGCCATTGGGCATCACCCATGTCCAGACGCAGTCCAGACACACTTTAGCTCGCCAGATGCTGAACAGCAGCAGGCCACTTACAAAGTTTAAGATTCTCGTGCAGACCTCAGCTCGGCAAGCAAAATCAGAAGATGCTCGTCTAGAGTGGAAGCACAGACAACAGCCTGTTACAGATATGGGCCAGTCCAGAGACATGATCTCTCATGCTTGCCTTGTCTCAGTACTCAGTACTCGGGAAATCTGGGGGATGCCACGGGGTGTTGCGCCCTCTGTAGCGTGTGGCCTTCTGTGTGGCACCCAGACAGGTGCCCTCTGCCCGTGAGCAGCTTCAGTTTGTCCACCGATAACTGCTTACCCAGGTCGCCAGATCACCCGCTCATGCCTCGTCCGCCCAAGAAGTCTGGGCAGAAATCTGTCTCCAAAGCTGGGGGAAAGGCTTTGAAGGCAAAGGTCACGGAGTGCAAGGAGCTGACTGGTGGGTCGGCTGGGCCGGCTGGGTCGACAAAAGCGCTCATCCAGGAGGTCATTGCAGCATGTGAGGACTGGGTGTCGCAACCCCAGCCACACGCTGTTCTTCCTGTGATGGCCGTCCAAGAGCTCTCACACATGGCCTGGGAAGTCAAGATGAATTCCTGGCGGTCCAAGGAGGCCTTGGGCGGTGAAGCGGCACAGGCCTTCACAGAACTTGTGGACAGTGGGGGCACGATTGCCGGGGTTTTCAAGGCCTTGCAGGGCAAATGCCTGACCACAGGAGACCTGGATAAACACAGGCCGGAATCGTCGCAAGCGAAGCTCCAGAACGATGCCGTGGGCCTCACGTTGGTTGGCATGATCCTGGACCTGTCAGCCACTAACCAGCTCGACAGAGATGGCTCCGCTGAGCTGTGTAGCCCGAACTTTCAGCCTGGAGAAGAGGTGGTCGCTCAATCGGTGTCCTTCCTTTGGCACGAGGCTGGGGCCGTAGCCCGCATCCGCTTGTAGCCCAGAAGTCCAGATACATGCAGTGGATGGAATCCGAGACTCGAGTCTGTCAGGTGCGGTTTACCTTGCCCATGCTCCTCGATGCCAAGGCGGCGAGCTCGGAAGCAGCGGCGACATGTGCTAAAGTGACCCGTGCGCTACGCTCCATCCACCACCTCTTTGCCGCTCGACGTTATGCAAGCCGCGCGCTGCCCGCTACCTGCCTTGCTCATCGCACTGCAGTCCTGGCAGCACAGTGCTCGTCCATCGCTTCCTTGCTTTCCTCCTGCACTCCGGCTATCGTCAAGACACCGCTGGTGGCCCTGGGCGCAGCAGCCGGTGACCTCTTGGACGGCAGCTCAGTTGTCCAAGCACAAGCAGAGACTGCAGATGTCCACACAAAGAAAGAAGTGGCTCCTATTGTCGCTCCCAGGGAGCCCAAGGCTCGAAAACACAGAAAGCTGAACGTCAACAAAGTGACCCAAGTCTCCCTGCTGAGATTCGTGGACGAGCTTTCCCAGGACTTGCCAGGCGCATCCCGTCTTGAAGTCTTGGGAAGCTCATCAGCGAATCGCGGCAGAAGACTTGCGCGCCCCCCCCCCCCCCCCCCCCCCCCCCCCCCCCCCTTTCCCGCTCTCAAGAGTAGACAGCTCCCTCCTCCAGCTCCGGAAACTCCGATCCTGGATGTGAGAAAATCTCAGCACCCTCCTTGTGTGTTTATGCCGCTTACCCTTTATGTTGTTCGGATTCGCATGTTTCTGTGCACAGTGATGGCTTCATTCATTTCATTCGATTCGTTGTCTTGAAGAGCAAGAAAGACAGTTGCAAAGCATGCATTGGTAGAATTCAACAGTTTCGATTCGATGTCGCCCAGGTGGCGCTCCTGGGCTATGGCTGCACCGAGCCACAGCTGCAGTCCACGGCCTTTGCTGAGCTGTGCAAGCTGGCGAAGAACCCAAAAATGCTCGTGAACGGCTTGGGAGGGAAGGGTCCTTCGGGTCCTTCCGGTCCTTCCTTTCTGGCCATGGCTCTGCGTGCCGTCGGCGCCACCCTGCTTCCCTTGAACCTTGGCCCAAGCCGCGGTGCCCAGACTGCAGAGGCAGCACGACTGCAGGCGGAGTGTGTGGCATCGGCCGAGGCGCGTGCCGGAAACCTGGCAGCGGCCATCCTTCAGGTCTTGGTAGACTCCCAAAGTGACTTCTCACAGCTCGAGGCGCTGTTGATGCAGCTGGTGTCCGCTTGCACGGATCCGAAGTGGGCAGCCGCACCGCTCTTGGCCCTGCGCATGATCGGAGCCCTGAGGCGGGTGGCCGGCGCTTCCCGCGGTGTGGACTTGGAGTGTGCTCGGCGCGAGGAGGCCACACGGCTTCTTGGGAAGGCCGCCGAGGCACTGTGCTCGCAGCATTTGGAAGCGACAAGAGCCACTTCCGCCGCCCCCAGCACCTGCAAATCTTGCCAAAGCCAAATGTTTTGCACGCCCTGCGACGTCTGCGTGCTCCGCCGAGCGACGCCGGCACGCCTGGGAGCAGTTTGCACTGACAGCGTGGGTGCGCAGGGCATGCTGACACTTGCTGGCTTCCAAAAGAGGGAGGACGTAGGTCACGAGGGTGGATTGCTGGCCCCCTCCTCTACGGACTTGCGTGGTAGTGCTGTTCCCGCGAGCTGCGCAAGTTGCAACGTTCCGTTCTCAGGACTCGTACAGTAGTAGACCTATCTGGCTGCAGCGTGTGTGCCTGCTTGCCCCAGGCCGCAGCTTTGCTCTGTTTGGCTGCGGGCAAGTCGTCCGTTGTCAAGGGCAGTCCCAAAGCCAAGCGGGCCAAGGCCCATATGAAAACCTCGCTGCAGGCGCGACGTTGGGCAATTGACCCACCATAGTCGTTTGAACTTGATGACTCGGCTATGTCAGTGATGCCTTCTTATGCTGCTTGAATGAGGCGTCAGATCGTAGTCTTCCACTCCTTCAGTCTTGGACGGGCTACAGCATCCTGCATGCGGAGGCGTCAGGCCTGGTGGGATGTTGCTTGTTGCATCCTTAAGCGACAAGCAGCTCCAAGCGTTCTCCAGCAGCTTAAAGCAGGAAAGAAACCGAATCTCCGTACTCCCCGTTTCATGGATCGGTGCATGGCGCGAGAAGCAGGATTACGTCATTGCCATCAAAGTTCCACACGAGTCCGCAAGCAAGAGTGCCGCTCAGACCTTGGCAGGTATTCTACTTGCGACATTGGTAGGTGGGGAGAAGTGGGGGTTAGCGTTTTTGCGGCGAACGGAATGACAGCAGAAATTAGTCGCCTTTTCTTGGACATCTACATGCTTGTACATGCTTCTACACTAGTGATGCGCGTAAAAGCACAAACAGGGCTGATCAGCTACGAGTTGCTGTGGGCCACAGACACAAAAACAGAAGATTCGGGCCCGAAATCTCAACCCTCAGGGCCTGCTACGATTCTCATTTTGCGGCACAGTTGGTGCCCAGTGCCCAGACTCATCTCAGACAAGACACAAGATAGTCGCGATCCCACAGATGTGCAGAGTGCAAGACTCAGCAAATTCTCAACAAAGCTCGCAGTTTCCATTCCATTGGGTCGATCACCCCACCGGCACCCAAAACTCAGAAAGTGGCTCCACAAATTCGCGAGCTTTGGGGTCGACTCTCCTGCGAACGACGTCAGCTGCTCCAAGCCCATGATGGGGCCCTGGTGCACCTGGCGCGCTTGTTGCAATGCACACAGTCGGAGTGTCGGTGTGCTACTCGTACAGTAGTTCTTTCAGGCGTATATTCCTTCTTTAGCTGTGGGTTCTCACGAAGGGGTTGCAATGTCAGGGTGCCAGGAGTCTGCCTTCCTTCCTCGCTGCAGCGCTTTTGCCTGGAACATACGTCACACGTAGTTCCTTCAGTAGAGACCTCGGCCGGACTCATGGGAACATGCTGCAAGGAAGGTGGGTTCGCGACGCCGTTGGAGGCCATGAAATCGGGCAAGGTAGAGGAGTTGCTGTACATCCCTGCTGTGCAGATGGAGAAGGGCGAGAAGCCAGATTATCTTGCTACCGTTGACCTGAACCCAGAAAGCTCGACCTATGGCCAAGTCATCCATCGCCTGTACATGGCGGAACCAGGCGATGAGCTGCATCACCTCGGTTGGAACGCATGCTCCTCGTGTCGTGGGCAGGCACGCGCCAAGATGTAAGCACACACACGCATTCAAGTTCTAGCAGTAGGCTACGTCCCTCGCAGGGGTTTATACATCAAATTGCCAGCTCAATAATCTCAATTCTGCGTTGTTCACCACTACACTAAAGTCTCGTCATACTCTGATACTCCCCATTGTGCCTGGCCCCTGGCCCCTGGCCCGCCCTCCATTTCTGAGATCGTGTATGGAAACTCTTTGTAAAGTGAGTTCAAGAATTGAAGCGTCTTTGATGGTGGGAATTGAGGGCAGCAGCCCTAGACTGGCCCCAAACCCGAACAGGCAATGGTTTGGGTGGTGGCCTGTGACAGCTCACCGTGGGGGGGTGGGGGGGTGCACCACTGAAAATTGTTGGACTTCATTGAAAATAGATGCCATCCCTCCACACACACAAAAAAACGTGTCAAAACGGCGAGAAGAAGCACAACGCAAAAAAACACAAGAAAGGACCAGACTGGCAACAGGAACATGAAAAAGCAGCATGACAAAAGCACAGATAAATCACACCCACCCCTTTTTTTGGACACTTGAGAGAAGACTTCTCCGCAGCTTCAGGAGGGCCGGCCGACACATTCCTTCCTCATCGCTCCTGGCGTCCGGAAACATCCACATCATCGACGTGCGGTCAGACCCTCGCGCCCCGCAGATCCACAAGACCATCCCGGGAACCGAGCTTCTGGCCAAGGTGGGCGTGGCTCTGCCACACACGACGCACTGCGCTCCAGACGAGATCATCATGTCTTTTATGGGAAGTGGGACGGCCAAGGATGGGTTCGAGCCCAGCGGTGCAGGCTTCGTCTCTTTCGATCCCAAAACCTTCGAAATCAAGCAACGCTGGGAAGCTGCTGACACCCCGGCGACCCCGCAACGTTTTGGGTATGATTTCTGGTACCAGCCACGCCACAATGTGATGATCTCCTCTGAATGGGGCGATCCAGGCTGCTTCACGAAGGGTTTTGACCCGACTCACGTCGGAGAGGGGCGTTATGGTAGCAAGCTCTACGTCTGGGACTGGGCCAAGCGCACCTTGAAGCAGGAGCTCGACGTAGGAGTCGGGGCCTTAATGTGCATGGTGAGCATACAGTGTCTCGTACAGTGTGCTTTCACGCCTGTCCACGACCGGATAAACATGACGAGCTGCAAATGTACTGTAGGTGACCTGTACAAACTTTTGCGCTTTTCTTCCAAAAATGTTCTATCCTGAGGCGGGCTCCATTCCGCTCGAGGTCCGCTTCCTGCACGATCCAGACAAGGCAGAGGGCTACACTGGATGCGCGCTGAGCTCGGAGATTGTGCGCTTCACCCAGGGTGAGGACGGACATTGGGTGGCCAAGACGGTCATTAAGGTGGAGCCAATACCAGTCGAGGGCTGGGCCTTGCCGGAGATGCCGGGACTCATCACAGATTTTGCGATTTCCTTGGACGACCGCTTCCTGTATCTCTCCAACTGGCTTCATGGAGACGTACGCCAGTATGACATCACTGGGGAACCACGGCTCGTGGGCCAGTTCTTTGTGGGGGGCTCATTGAAACGCGGGGGCGCCGTCACCAGGAAAGATGGCCTTGCCCAGCCAGAGCCTTTGGTCGTCAAGGGCGTAGAAATTCAGGGGGGATCCCAAATGGTGCAGCTCTCCCTCGATGGGAAACGTCTCTATGTGTCCACTTCACTTTTCTCCTCCTGGGACAAGCAGTTCTACCCGGAAATGGCTGGCCGGGGGGCGCAGCTGATCCAGCTGGATGTCGACACGGAGAAGGGTGGGCTGTCCTTGAACCCCAACTTTGTGGTCGACTTCGGGGCAGAGCCGGATGGCCCGGTACTGTGCCATGAGATGAGATTCCCAGGAGGGGACTGCACCAGCGACATTTGGATTTAGGCGCGGGGACGATGACGGCGCATACCATTTTGACCTGCTTGAGTTTGCATCGGTTTGCGTAGAATCCTGGCGTTTACAAATATCGCCTGCGCACCATCCATTTTAAGGCTGAACCGGCAGCCACGCCTGAGGTTGAGCGAGTACAGATCACACGCACACACTTTCCTAGACCCAGGCTTATCGTCGAGCGGCGACAGTGTGAAAGCCTCGAGTCTTTTAGCTTGGAGTCACATCTAGCTTGCAATAGCTACATGCCAGGTCCATGCGGAAGTCCAGTGGGCAGCGATGGCCGCAAGATTTGGGGTACGTGGTCCGCACGCGACCGCACAGCTGCGTTCTCCGCATGTCTTCATCTCAACTCGATCCATCCCGTTCTATGCCTTCGATCCTTCCATTGATCAGCTCTGTCAGATCTGCGGTGACAGGAGGTTTTCACAATCGATGCTGCTTGACAACACAGACATGTGCAGCGTATAAGAGCCTTGTCAGGGCGCGAGACAGCGACGGAGACTGGAAGGGTCCAAGATGCTCAAGCTGCCCGGAGCAGTCGGGCTGCAGCCGAGAGGAATTTCCATTTGACCACTGACCTCGGCATCAGTAGGTTGTTGTTGTAGCTTATGCTGTAACTCCTGGGGCTCTCAAGACCCTCGGTCAGGTGCACGTCGCCTTTACAGTCAACTGCTCTGGCGGGACACAGAGAGCTACCTCTGCCGTGCAAGCGCCTCGCCTTTCAGACTTTCAGCATAGAGTCAGTTCGTGAAAACATGCCTCTTCTGAGTGGGTGTGCAACGTGTAAGCACCGGGCTCCTTAGTGGAAGCAGTTTTGGTTCGTGTTCTTGAAGCTCTCCTCATGATTTGTACATACGCATTGAGCGCGACCAGGGATTCGCCTTTCGTGTACTTTTCTCTCAACCGAGGAACCGCGACTCTCGAGTCACTGCTATCAATTGCCCGCGGCCATCCCCTTGCCCTCGTGCGACGACAGGTGCGCCAATCATCGAGCCTCTTTACGCATGTCTTGCTGAGTCTTGCTGCATGCATCGCCGCTTTAGGCCTTCGTAGGATTGGCCGGAGCCCTTCTGGTTGACCCCTCGCTGATTGCCTCACGCTGCATCGCGGAGGCTGTTGCCAGCGGTATCTTGGCAAACTCCGGGTGTTTCTGAGGGGCATCAAGGTTCTTTTAGCTGTTTGGTTGTTGGGCCCAACGGGCGAAATAAGAGAGATGACAGCTACTTTCCCCTCTGAGCCGCTGCACTTTTTGAGGTCTGCAGGATGAAGCGGCCTTGTCCCGGCTCGCCAGCGTGGACCTGGTTTTGCGGCTCAGCGCGGGCCACGGCAACAAGGACCATGGCGAGGTGGTTTCGCAACGGCTGGCGGAGCTGCGGGGCGCTGTGGCCGGGCGCCTGTCCGACCCCTCACCCCTCGTGCGCCGCGCAGCCTACCGTGCAGCGTGCCAGTGGCTTGAGGAGGGCGTCGGGAACCGGAGCCACTGCCTCCAGGAGGAACAAGTCCAAACATTCCTAAACCCCTAGAGTTGCCCTGCCCCACATCCTGGCATCTGTGTCGCAGAACAGAGGGAGGCTTGAACAAGCGCAAAGCCCCTCAAAGGCTGGAAACCTGCTGCAGCGGCTCCGATCCGAATCGCCACCCATCCGAGCGCACGCCCTGGGCGTGATAGCGCGGGTAATCTTCGATGGGCTGAGTCAAACCGGCAAGGGCCGGCTGGAGAATCTCCAGGCTCTGCTCGAAGGTGGAGCTGCTGGAAGCAGCGTGCGCGATGTCATCGCTGCGCAGTGCAGGCTAGTTTTTGTCGTCGTAATTGCCGTATATGTGACAATGTGCGACTGTAGGTGAAGATGTTACCATGGTGCCCTGCTCTGAAGTCTTTCCAGCAGTTTCATTGATTTCACTGGTGCAGGGCCATGGACATGCAAAAGGATGTCGAGGATGCCACGGCGGCAGCGACCTCCGCGATGGCCGAGATAGTCAGATGCACCGTGGCGGCGCTACCCGAGAGGGCCGAGCAGATTGAGACGCATCACTTGCACCGTTTGACTCTCTTGGAGCAGATTGGGCTGGAACGTCCGGCTGCGTTCCAGTCCAGCTTGGGGCATTTGCAGAAATGGCTTGATGTGGGCCACAATCAGAACCAGGAACCACTCACAGAACGTTCCAAGCCTTTGCTGGAGCTTCCAATCTCTGCCTGTAACATACTCGCGCAAGTCCTGCCTCATTGGGCCGAGCACGCCTCCAGCATCTCCAAGCAGAGTCAGGTGCGCAAGCTGACGTCTCAATTGGCAGTCTCTCGGCCTGCCTTGTGTGCTTCATTCTGCAGTCAAGATATGCTTTGCTGCCAGGAATATACTAGTGACATATGTGTTTTTTAGTTCTGAGATTTGAGGCCTTGATGGATGACACCACGGTGCCGTCGGGCGACTTAGGCCTCCTGGCTCGGGCAGTGGTGCGATGCCTCGCGGTGCTGGTTCCCTTATGGCCCTCGGCGGGGCAGCTGCTGGTAGGCCACTTTGGTCGCAGCATCCGTATCCTAGCAGAGGTGGTGCAGCAATGCAGGCCGGTTCAGCATGGAAGGTTCTGCCGGCACGCGTGGATTGTGGGGTCCATTGTGGAGTTTTTGGACCACGGCGAGCTCTCCAAGGAAGCTGGCGGCCATGTGTTGGAGAGCGCGGTGCTGCTCCTTAGTGACTGCTGTCTGCGTGGACCTTTGGCAGCACAACCTGCCATCGTGCCAGCGCTGGGCTTCGCACTCCGTGGTTGTCCATCCCTCCTCCGCGACCGGAAGGCTGGGAGTGAGGAGAGCCCGGGGCCTCTGGACGTACTCCGACAGGGCTTGCAGGCCTCCGAGACCCACTTTGCCACAAGCCTCCGGGCCAGAACCGTTGAAACCTTTGCAGGACCAATTCTTGAGAATGTACTTGCATCAGCATGTGGTAGAAGGGGGCATCGGGGTGCATGGCAGGACTGGCAGCTTTCTTCCAGGAGGTGGCACAGGTGAACAGTCCCAGCCGACATGACGTGGACAATGGCTCTGAGGCCAGCATGGCGGCACAAAGCCTCGCAGCTTTACAGTGGGAGGTGATGCAGCTTCTTGTTGGCATTTGTTGGCAGTCAAATACAGCTGTGCAGTTCACATCAAGCCGCGTACGTGCATGTAGCGCTTCTGCTCGTGCCTGTATGTGCCGCCACTCTGTGCCTTCAGTGCTCTTCGCTGTATTGTCCCCAAATGGGCATTCCTTTCTCCAACAAAAGATCCATGTTTTCGCTCAGCGCAAAACACAGTGGGGCCACTGGGGCCACTAAGGCTTCTTCACTCCGCGCCTGAGAGCCTCGCCACTCTCCAGCAAGCCCTGCGCGGCCTCCACTCGCTGTGCGACTTGGGGGTTCTTCACCCCGCTTCATTGCCGTGCCTCATCGCAGCTAGCCTGGCTGGCAATCCCTTGGCTGCGCCGCACACACGTAGCTTGCTGCTGCGTGTGGTGGAGGCTGCACCTCCACTGCTGGTGCATAAGTGCAGCGCAGGCATGAAGATGGCCGCAGAACACCTCGCCATGCAGCTTGGCACCGAGGCAAGCGTGCAGGGCGACTCGTGGCGATTTGCACCACTTTGTGAAGCTTACTCTGAGTTCTTGTCAGATAGTAAGCAGATGCGAGATCAATTTATCACCTCCTTCATGAACGAAACCATCAGCATCGGCAACGATGATGCAAGCGATGCATCGCAGGTGTTGCTACGAATTCAACTAGCTACCGGTTTGCTCATGCGCTTGCCGCTCTCTCGCGAAGCAGAACTGGCCCAGATCTTCGAGTGCACGATCCAGTTTTTGATGTTGAAGGTCATGCCCTTTCTTGCGGAAGCAGCAGATGCGGCGGATGCGACGGATGCGGGCGAACCCGGAGAAGGTCTCAAGAGCCCAAGGCCCTCATCGCCCTCGTTTGCTTTGGTGGCCGTGGCCACAGTTTTGCACAAGCTGTCCATACATTGGCTCGGCCTGGTGGGCTCCGAGTTTGCCAGGCACATGCAGGCCTTTGCCGCTTCTCCGAACGCTGGTCGTCCCAGTGCCACGCTGGACCTTCCGCTTCCTCGCGGTTTCGCTCGCAACGAGCTGCCGGACTTCTCCACGACCTTCCAGCACCTCAGGAGCGGGGACAACCCTGCAAAGTTGCTGTTGCAGATCCCGGCCGACTCGCCGTTGCTTGCCGGGCAGGCTGTGGCACAGACGGCGCGCCGCTCTCAGAAGGTGTAGGCCAGTGCAAGCTTCCATAAGAAATATAAGGTGCTTTACAGGATCCTGGCATGCCCTGGCCTCGCTCCCACGGTGCCGTTCCTTTGTGAGCCGAGGCACACTCGACCCAAGCGATGTGGACAGGCCATGTGTGCCAAGCAAGCTGCCAGAGTCCAACGATGTCCAACCAGTCAGAGACGGCACGTTAGCAGGCCAAGAAGGCGCAGGAGAAGGATTCGTTGAAGGACTCTGGAAAAGAGGAAGCAAGCCACATTCCTAGCACATCATGGGAAGGCTGTGTGTTTATGACATGTTGTGACTATGGACGTCAGCCCGCGTGCCGAGGCAAAAGAAGGCGACGTGCACTTGAGACGAAGGCTGGCCCACTCTTTGCTGGTTTTTCGCTCACTCGTGCTGCTCGTGACAGGACAGTTCGCAGGACAAGGCTGACGCCACGTGCCAGAAGCGGCGGCGTGCAAATGAGGCAGTGGTTGACAGCACCAAAAAGTCGAAGGGCAAATGATGCCATTCTCCATCGAGACTGGAATTCGGTGTGTAGTGCCGGGCAATCACCATTGATTGCACCTGCGTCACGGTCTCTTGCCAAAGGCACTGGAGGCAAGGTGGATTCTACTAGTTGGGGGCTGCTGTTGCAGCAGGGTGTGCATCCTATGGTCCCGTTGATCTGTATGTTTGCGGCAGCTAACTTCTACTTGCCATTGCAGACCCTGCCATGCCGCAGCACTTGTGGGGCCCTGGATTTGCTCGAATCCGAGAATGGCACCAAAGGGGTGGTGCTGCTGCTCCCACCGCAAAATGGCATCCGCTGTCGCATATGCTTGTTCAGAGAGTGCGATTGCCACAATAGCCTGACATGCAAGACGATGCGCTGCGCCGGAGACCTTCAGATTCAGCTGGAAGGGTAGGCAGCGGTAGGTATTTGATCTTATCCAATCATTTGTCTGACCTCTGCTGCGCGAGCCAAAAACCCTCAAGCTAAAGAGGATTTAAGACCGAACATGTTTCTTTGCAATCAAAACCTGGATTGCCAGTGTTATACAACTGCTAGCAAGCCATATGCCCCCTCAGATCGGCCTTGCGCTCGTGCTCGCGGTGGTGGCGGCGGTGGACAAGCCAGATGGCTGTTTGGAAGCGGCGTGGACCACACCCTGTTCCTCTGCGGTAACGTGCCAGAGCTTGGCAGAAGCTGGGCTCACATGCAGTCATGTCAGTTTGCTTTCCGGATGCGACCGATTGTGTGCCAGCCCCTGCTGCGTCACGACAGAGACCACGACTCGCGTCACGACAAGGACCACGACCCACGTCACGATGAAAACCACGGCGGCAGTGGCGGCGGTGGACAAGCCAGATGGCTGTTTGGAAGCGACGTGGACCGCATCCTGTTTTGGCGCAATGACGTGCCAGAACTTGGCAGAAGCTGGGCTCACATGCAGTTCTGTGAGTTCGGTTCCCGGATGCGACACAGCATGTGCCAGCCCCTGCTGCGTCACGACAGAGACCACGACTCGCGTCGCGACAAGGACCACGACCCACGTCACGATGAAAACCACGGCGGCAGTGGCGGCGGTGGACAAGCCAGATGGCTGTTTGGAAGCGACGTGGACCGCATCCTGTTTTGGCGCAATGACGTGCCAGAACTTGGCAGAAGCTGGGCTCACATGCAGTTCTGTGAGTTCGGTTCCCGGATGCGACACAGCATGTGCCAGCCCCTGCTGCGTCACGACAGAGACCACGACTCGCGTCGCGACAAGGACCACGACCCACGTCACGATGAAAACCACGGCGGCAGTGGCGGCGGTGGACAAGCCAGATGGCTGTTTGGAAGCGACGTGGACCGCATCCTGTTTTGGTGCAATGACGTGCCAGAACTTGGCAGAAGCTGGGCTCACATGCAGTTCTGTGAGTTCGGTTCCCGGATGCGACACAGCATGTGCCAGCCCCTGCTGCGTCACGACAGAGACCACGACTCGCGTCGCGACAAGGACCACGACCCATATCACGATGAAGACCACGATCCGGACAAGCACGCCTGATGCAACTGGGTTCATGCCCGAGCCAATAACCGCAGCAGCCGCCCCGACAGGCATGGCCACCACAGCTGAGCAAGAAGGTCCAGTTCCTACATCAATCAGTTGGCCTGTGATTGCTGCCGTCAGTGCCATGCTAGTGCTTTTCTTCCTCATTCTTTGCTTCGGCTGGCGGCTTTACAAGGGCCTTCAGCTTTCGAAGGCAGCGGCCACCACTGAAGCCCGCCCCCCCGCCAGTGATCCAGAGTCGCTAGAGACGCTAGAGGTGCCAGACCCGGAGGCTGGTGTCAAATCCGGCCCACTTGGCCCGATTCTTCTTGGACGCCATCAAATGTCTGTGGAGGCCCTTCAATGTGCAGAGATGCTATTGGTGTCGAAGCTGCCGATGAACTTGCCAGAGTACTGGAAGAACATGGAGCTGAAGGTGATGGAGCATGGTTGGCGGGCATACCCGGTCGACACCGCAGTTTTGCAAACCATCAAAGACATCTTCGTGGTGCGGCGGCCGGAGGAACTAGGAAAAGGCAGGGACGCGCTGTCGTATTCCTCTCGATACTCAGGTCTTGAAGTGCATTGTGCGTGGCGCATCGAAAATGAAAGCGCATGGCAGAAGTTTGTGGCGGAACGACAAAACGTGCTTCGCCAGATGAATCAGTTGAGGACGAATTGCATCGTTCTGCCTGCATGGGAAAGCAAGGTGGATGCGCCTAGCAGGGATCTTCCAGGCCAGCGGTTCAAGGAAGTGGGTGAAAGGTATCTGCTCCATGGAACCAAGCCCGAGAAAGTGCTGGACATCATTCATGGAGGTTTCAATGAGAAGCACGCTAGTGACAGGGTGGTGTATGGGGCGGGGAATTACTGCGCAGATGAGCCAGAGAAGGTCGACCAATATGCGACGCCAGACGCAGGGCCGCGGGGACTGGAGGAACTGCACGCTCGGCTCTACCCAAGCGAGGGCAATGTCGGCAATGTGCATCCAGGTGGAGATGTCTTCTACTGTTTCCTCGCTCGTGTCACGTGCGGTGCGTGCTTTCAATCGCGAGGCTTGGATAGGCACCTGTTAAAAGATGCGGCGACGGGCAGGGATGTGTACATGACACCTGCACGGCGCGAGCTGGCGCGTATTGAAGGTTCATCGCCTTCCATTTCCTACCACACTTTGGTGATGCACCCTTCCATGAACAGGACCGGCGGGCACGTGGAACGGTTTCGGGAGGTCATTGTTTTCGATGGCAACCGGATCTACCCGGAATATTTAGTGGCGTATCGGCGGCTGAAATAGCCAAAGCCTGCAGTGAGGCTTGTTGGACTGAGAGTTTCTTGTTTAGGTGCCAGGTTGTCAACCGTTGTCACAGCAATTGCTAGCTGATTTCTTGTTAGTACTTGCCTTGCTGGAGCTTCTGGAGTCGCATTGACGTTTTCCTTGCACGACACCTAGACGGGGCATGATGTGTCGGCAGCATGCGTTCTGCATCCTGCCATAATTGTTTTAGCCTTGCAAAATTGGGTAAGAAAGTCGTAATCAACAGAGAGCAAGCCTATGGGGTCTGGGCCGTGGCAAGGGCTTTTCTCCCATTGGGTTTTTGCCTTGCCTGTACAGGAGGCCGCTTGCAGAGCTTAACAGAGAGCTGCGCCAACCCCATGTGCAAAGGCTTACAGCAATGAAACCTGTGCCGCCAAAGTGTGAGCGTCAGATGAGCAGACAATGAGAGTCAAGGAAGGGTCAGAGGTTTGGTGCGAATAGGTAGAACTCATGGTGGGATTTGCAGAATTCTCTACTATGCGGAAACATACAAGTGTAGGCCACTTTTTTTGGAATTCGCCATATCGAAATGGTACGAAAAGCTTAGCCAGGCGCATCTTGTAGATGACAGGTGTTGAGGGAGGTTTACACTTTGTGCGATATGATGCATGAAATACCGTATGACGTGAAAGGATTCGGAAAACATTCATCGGAAAAACCCCGTGGGTAACACTATGCTTCAGTATGTCTGATGTGCCAAAAAGTTGACAATTGGGTGCTCCGAAGAATCTCTGAACAAGAGCAATACAGGCCCTGATCCAAGATCAAAGATTGGGAGCAGTTTGGAGGCAATCTTGGGGCCAAGGAGATCACACAAGCATTGAACTCATGAAAACAGAAGAACACCTGCGGCCAAAAAAAATGCCGTACCCGCAATCAAAAAAGCCAACCGACTTCAGCATCTTTGAACTAAAGCTCCAGCATCGACGGCCGCGCACACCCCCTTCAGTCTTGAACCCTTCCAGCTCCAGAATGAGGCTTCTCAGGCCTGGAAGGTGCGGGAGATTGGAGTCATGTCGGTTACGTGTGAGCTTCAAATCTTCAAGCGTGCGTGGACACCGTGGGCACCCCCCCCCCCTCTCCTCGCCATTTGATTTGTTGACATAAGTTCCGTACAAGTGGTGAGTCTAAAACAATGGAAGACGCAGGTCATGGAAGCAATGTGCCTCTTGCCACACTGCAGCATCCAGGACGTCAACAGCGCTGCCCAGGCTACAGTATCCATGCAAACGTTCTTGACCAGTGTAGGCAACAACATGCAAGTCCGATGGTCGCAACGTTTCAGCCTCTGTGTAGGCGAACAGACGTTTGTAAGCATGCAGCATGGCAGCAAACTGCTAGTAGATACAATGGTTCCTTGTAGCATCAGGACACCGCCTTGAATTCTGACTCTAGTGGCCACGGCTTTGCTGAGCACAGTCCCCAAATGAACCCAACAGCAATGTGTTCTCTCCAGCTGTTGGGGAGTGCAAGTTGAAGCTGAAACTCCGAAGCACTCCCAGACTCGCAGCTGGCACTGCTCGGCCATGCCATCCATGATGCCATGAGGTAGCCCCGAGCCTTCGGAGGCGGCCTATCTCGCGCGTTGGAGTCAGCGTAGAGTTTTGTAACTTGGTTTTCGCTTTCAGGCGGCTTCAGGCAGCCAAAGGTCTAGAGTCCTTGGTTCTCAGTCACGGAGAACGTTGCGTGCAAACTGTGCGTAGGCTGCGGTCGGAACCTTACGGTTAAGAGAGCAGCAGTTCCAATCGGATCTTCTCGAAACAGGTAGCATGGATGGCGAGGGAGCCGAGGCCAGAACTTTGGGGTTTTGGATTTTTTGGAAGTTTTAGGGTTACTGAAGTTATTGGATCTTGATTCGGCTGGGCCCATGCGGGATGGAGTTTCCCTCCGGGGTGGGCAGCAGGAGGATCGAAAGAACAAAAAGACACCGAAAGACAAGAAGGACGATCTCGGGACATGTTCCGCAGTATGCTGAGCTTATCCATGGCGATTTTCTTGGCAAGAGAGCGTGTGCTGCCAGGAGAAGAAGGAGAAGAAGGACAGGCATAGAATATTCTGCTGATAGCCAAGCGCGGAGTTTCGCCCGCATACCCAAAGCCCAAACCCCCAACTCCCCGAACACGCAACATTCCCGGTCCAAACTGGTCCAGGGATTGTCAGATGTCGAATCTAAATGCTGCCGAAGGAGAAGAGGAGCAAGGAGCAGGCTCTGCCATTCGTGGTTCTAGTGCAAGCTGCGTAGGACGTGCTGTTGGATTGCTTTGTAGAGTCTTGGAGGACAAAGTACCTGCCAAGCTCATTTGTAGCCGCATGCCGTCCAAAGCTCTCTGCACGCATCAAAGTGTAATCACGCAACGTGCAATTGTAAACCCAGCCTTGCAGCACAACTGTCTACATGGTAGGGAAATCACAGTACTTACAGTGCCCCATTGTCTCTTACGCAGGACGGCATTGACGCCCCGGCTACTGACGGCGCTGTTGCCGTGGGCCCCTCAAGCACCCGAAGCCAAGCTCACTTCTTTGGAGGTTCAAAGGTGGCTCCGGAGCCAAGTTGCACAGGCGTCCTCATCTTCTTAGGAGGTTTGGAGATCCTCCAACGGAAGTTCGGAGATGATGGATGTTTGGAGTGTTGTGGCTTGAATTGGTCTCCTGAGGACTCCAGCTCAACAGGCGTGGAGGTCAAGCCGAAAAAGGTCAAGGCCAAGAAAGAGAAGAAGGATAAGAAAGCTGATTTCTCGGACGAGGCCAGAATCGGTACGCAGGTATAGGCTGCTTCTCAGAGTGCGCTTCATATGGGTCTTGCGGCTGCCAGGCCAGGCCGGACGCCAATGAGGGCGAGCCCGAATACCGGAGACCGTCCCAGGCAGAGGAGGAGGAGGAGCCTTTGGCCGAGTTCCCTGATGATGAGGAGGATCGAGTGGCGGAGGACTACAAAGAGTCTGTGGACGAGCCTGTGGCTACTTTGCTCGTGGAACCGTTTGTGGGCGAGCAGTCTCTGCAGCCTGGCAGAGAGGAACAGGAGACCGGCGTTATGCCTGAGGGATCTGATGGGGAAGTGCGGGTAGATCTTACCGAAGAGACGGAAGTGGATCCGCTGATGCGTGACGAGCCTCGCACCAGTCACGCGAGTCACGTGCAGTCCGTCCCGGCGGAAGACATCATCACAGGCCGGGGCAGCCTGGTGCAATATCGCGGTAGCACAATTGCTGCGGCGCGAAAAAGATGCCATTTGACAGACAGGTCCTCCACCTATCGTTCTGGGTGGCAGTGGGGACGACGTCAATATTCCGGATAGGGCCGGGGCCCAAGATTTGGCCTTCCTTGCCTGTGGGAGTCGGTGTTCATCACCGTGTTTGTGAAGGAAATTGACGGGCCCCGACGATATACCCTCGGTGGACAAGAGAAAGTACACAGGTGTACCCAGCCGGAACCCAAGAGATGGAAGCGCAAGACGCTGTTGAAAGCAGACGTAGGGTTATCACGGTTATCATAGGGTTCTAAGGTGGGGAAGAAGCCCCAAAAGGACCTTCCCAGTACTCAAATGTTCAGGTGCACGATGAGAACGGGGAGTCGCCACAGGTAGAAAACGCATCCGACAAGTGCGAGAGGTGGCGAGCAGTTTCCCCTGACGGCAGAGTCGTCGTGAAGGGGCGGAGAGGGGGTTGCGACCAAAACAGGTGGAACCCAACATGAGCCAAACAGGTCCCGGCTGCGTGGGAAGTTGTGGGACGGGACGGGAGCGCCTGTGTCCGAAGTCCTCTAATGGGATTGGGCCCGACGTACCATTGCTTTCAACTCTCGGAAAATGGTCAATTCAGAAGAATCAATTCTTTTCTCTTTGGCAAAGATTGTCATTAGTCATTTCTGATTCCATTCTCCTGAACTCCATAGCTCAATGTCACTGATTTGGCGAAGACTCTGATCATTCTTCAACAACAACTAAACGAGGATAATGTTCATCGGTTCGGCCTGAGTATCGTCCTTCGGTTCAGCCGTGCTGCTTTGGAAGTCTGCCTCCAAGCCGAGATGGACGAAAAGGCTGCAGTGAGGGAGACAGATTCATAAAGCTGACCCGGATGGAATGTCTGAAAAAGGAATCACAACAACGCTTCCCCTCTTTGAATTCTCTTTTCCCGGTGCATTTTGAGGCGGAGCCTACCGGTAGGCTATACCCATAGGCCATAGGCCTGCCGATAGGCTACCCACAGCTGACTCGCTGGGGCCGTGGTTGCCGCCCGGCTCATGGGGCATTTTGCCCCTGTCCCGGGGCGATGGGGCAGAGGGACCTCCAAGCCGAGCGGGCCGGACATGGTTACGTCCCTGTGCGTGGCCCAAATTGGGTGCATTGTGTGGTCCTTGCTTTGGAGGCTGTTGTGAGGCTCTTGGCATCGGGCCCTGCGGCTGTGGACACCTGTTGCTGGCTTGCCTGCTGCACGCTCTGGGGACAGCCCGGGTGTTGAAACTGCTGGTTCCAGAGCCTGAGCATCGCGTTGCAGCGCGAGAATGCCTACCGTGTTGTCCACCGGCGGTCGGACCGCACTCTCTACCCTACCTGACCTTCGGTCTTGCTGCACTTTCCGCCGTGTACCACCTCTTACAACGCCTGCCAGTCGCCTTCCCCACCTGGCCGAGAGTGCATCTCCTGCACCATCTCTTGGAGCCTCAGACACTTCGCCAGCCTCTGCTTGCGTCCGGGGTGCCATAAAGGGGCGTGCACGTTGATATTTGGCAGCTTCCTTCGTGAGCAGGGACCTAGGTAGCGGTATCCGCAGCGGGTTTATTTGCAGAATCTATGCGTAGGCCACCCGCGAAACAGGTGGAAACAACAGGCGAAGCTGTGACCAGGTAAAAAGGGGGAGCCTAGCCAGACAAAAAGACCTCCAAAGTACTTGAAGAGCTTAAGGCGAGTCCCCCATTGGTGCCCATCACTGAGCAGTCTGTCCCTGAGAGGTGTGATTTGGTCTGGGACGCGGCCGTGATGCACTGCTCCAAGTGCCAAAGGCCCTTGGTGGAAGCCACCATCAAGGCCTGGTCAGAGATGAGTTGCATGAGCCGAGCACACCTCCGTCGTCGCTCATATTATGCTGATGCCATCTGGCTATATCAACCAGAGAGCCCTACAGTGAGCCGTACAGTGGGCTGCAGGATGTGCCATAGTTTGCCAAACCGCGCGTCTTGGCAGAATGTGCGGACTTTGAGTAGACGCGCCACAGACCAACAATCCCAAACCCCAGAAATCTCGGAAGCCACATGCTGAAGCTTGCCCAGAACCGATGCTTTGGAGCAGTCCCTTTGGTGGCGGCAGGTCACCGAATTTCTGTCCAACAGCCAGCGCCCTGCCCAGCTTCGAGCATCACCTCAGCTTCAAAGTGGAAAGTCCGCTTGCATCATGCTGGGCATGTGCTGGCGAGGTTGGAGTTCCTGGAGCAGGCCTTCAAGCGCTACGACGTTGACGGCTCGGGTAGGCTGGACGGCAAGGACAGGTCCGTACATTTGAGCCGGTTGCGGCCTGCCTTGCCGGATTACGGGAGATGGAGGTGCAGGGCTAAAGCAGAATGAATAAATTGGGAACGAGGGAACGTTACGATCATTTGCACCAGCTTCTTTCGGGTTCAGGTTGAGGCTTGTTTCAGGGCGTTATCAATCTGCCCAGTACATGTTTGGCCGTCCCAAACCTACACCAGCTCCTAAAACCGAAAGTGGCAGAGGAGCTCCGAATGGCCGTCAGAGAGCTGGGCTGGGCCCAGCGCTCGGTGCAGACATTGCAATCAGTACTGCTTGCTTAGTGTGGAAGTTGTCACGGAAGTGCTTCGAAGATTGCAAAGAGGGCAGATGTTACATGGGAACCCGGAACATGATGCAACGAACCATCCCTGATCGCCATGCAGGACACGAAGCAGGACATCTTGGACAGGTGGGCCCGTACGGCGCTAAGTTGGGCATGGCCTGCGACCGCAGCCATTTCGGCAGCAAAGCCTCTCGATGCACGTATCCTGACCTATGGACAGATAGTGAGCCAGTGCGTTCATATTGAACCCAATGTCTCATCTTCAATACTTGAGGTGTGGGAGGGAACCAGGGCCTCAACCTCGATCAGTTCAAGAACTTGGTTGCCTGAGACACAGCGTGCTTAGGCTTGGACCTGTTGTGCAAGTGTGTCGCATAGGGTCCTGCATGGGTGTTGCACTACGTTGCGCCTCTGAGGCTAGTGGAAAGCTCGGAAAGAAAACCTTCAAAGCCATTGTGGGGAAAGCCAGCGAGGCCTGCGAGTCATAGATGACATCAGGAAGCCTCCATGCAGCTGCTGTATGTCGCTGGGCGTTGAGGCTGTAAGGGATGACCGGAGGCAGCTGCTTGCCATGGGAGGCCAGAAACACCCTGAAAGAGTGCACACGCACGGAAAGTTTTAAGCACCCCCTCGCAGTGCAATGCTGTCCAACACTGTGCAGGCGCAGCGCCGCAGTTCACGGCGCGCCAGAGGCCACAAACGACACAGAGGGCCTCTGAAGCCGAGTCCTTTCAGTAGCAGTGTGGCTGTTTAGCTTCCGAGATCTCCAAGAGGCCCTAGTCCCCAAGGCTATAGTACGGCTATAGGCTCTGCCAGTGGCAATATCTTGGAAGGCAGGGTAGACGGGGAGCACTGGTCCCTGGCGAAACGCAGGAGAATGTGGGCTCCTCCCTTCCAGTGCATCGGTTGTTCAGACGTGCGCCAGGACTTTCTGCCAGACGGAGGGCGGTGGCCCAAGCCTGTAGCCGGCTCTCACTTGTGTTCATGGGAAGCAGAAGCGCGCAAGACACCTGGGATGCGTGAAACCCAGCAGGTTGGTTTCGACGGCCCCTCCCTTTGGCGAAGGCACGGAAGCCAGCACAGAGCCGCTGGTTGCGGCGTTGCCCGGCCGAAGGTCAGAGCGCCTTTGAGGAGCTACCACCACACCGCAAGCTGGAGCTCACCGAGGTCCCCATGGCCCATGGTCATTCGAGCTCCTAACCCCCAAAGCCCCCATACTTTCCTAGCTCTCAGGCTTGGGCCTTCTGGGACGCCGACCACTCGGGCTTCCTGGAGACGGGGCCTCAAGCACGGAGACTAGCACATACGAGCTTTGTTTTTGTGGGCAGGGGGGTGGGGGGGAAGCACACCGTTAGGCCATACCAACTTGCGTTTGCAAATGGGCCGCACCCAGCCCATTCCTTTAACACCCCTTTCTAAACCATTCCGAATACAGGCGCGAGAGGTTATCCTACAACAAAGGCAGGAAGAGCGCGCGTCAAAAGTGTTAACAGTTACAAGCCTCCCCGAGGTAAAAAAACAACAAAAAGTGGAGTGGAGCAAGAAACCAAACCTATGGCCTCAGCTCCAAATCCTTTGAACCTGAACCAGGCCGGGGGGGTGGTCGCTGGGAGGTCAGGAAAAGATGTGGGGGGGGGGGGGGGGGTGGAGGGGGTGGCGGGGGTGGCGGGGGTGGGGGGGGGAAGGTCAACAACTATGTTGCCCGATGGCAAAAGGTAGAAGGGTCATGATGTTGGTGCAGGAGTAGGGCAGCAAGTCCTCCATCTCGTGAGCCTATTTGCCGTAGCTCACAGCAAGGCCGACACACTATTGTGGCATCCGAGGCCTATCGAGTTGATGAACGCCTCGAAAGGCCGTGCTTTGGGAATTTCATTTCATGGAGCTTCATGAACTTCGGGACGCCTCTATGCAGTTCGAAGACCCCGCGCAGGTTTTAGCACTAAGTGTTCGGAAAGTGTACGGTGCTACACTTCAACGGTTCCAAGCTACCAAGTCTGAACTCACAAATGTCTGTCAGTCGTGCTGTGAGTCATCGGAAGCCACAGCATTTTTGCCGTCTTGCTTGCCATGATCTTCAGTATTTGGGGCGGCCTTTGAACACTTTGGATCTATTGTTTGAACTATTATTTGAACTAACATTCGAACCATACTTTGAATTATTATTCTTGGCTGCCAAGTGGCTGATCGGTTGAGTGGAGTCAAGAGCTCCTCAAACGGTTCCCCGCGAAGCCAGGGCTGGGCTTTCACCTCCCCATCGAGTCCGTGGTGGCTGCCAGTACCCGAGTGGCGATTTCCGTCGTTGGTGAAGTTACGGTTGCATTCGTGTCGAGACATGGAGATTGGGCTGGTTGCACAAAGGGTCAGGGAAGTCCAAAAAAGCACTCATTGCATGAGAAGGTCTGTGATGTGAGGCCTTGACGCATGTGATGGCTGCTGAGGTTTGTGGAAAGCATGGTGGCGGAATCGATCAGGAGAATTTCATCAGAGTTATGTCGGCGGCCTGCAGGGGTCATCCGTGAGGTTTAGGAAATGAGGCTGGCATTCGCAACGACACAGTGGTGTAGCATGAGACAGCGGTAGTGCATCCTGAGCGAATGCGGGTCATCATGATCCAACAATACTGTCGTGAACCAGGTCCGTTCAGATCAAGCACCGGGACGAGGCGCTTTATGGCAAATCTCTCACCACTCGACACCCGAAAGCATGGCACCCAAGGATTGAGTGTGCTCAGTGTGCTTTCGGCTTCACAGGAGCTGGGCCTTTGGAAGGGGTCACCCCTCGACTGGGCAGACTGGGCAAACGATGACGATGATGTGGAAGACAGGACAGGTCGGGCTGAGCCGCAAACTTGGTCCCAACTATCCTATAGACCACATATGACGCCCCCCCCTGGACACCCTCCAGCCTTGGCTTTGACGCGTCTCAACCACGCGCTGGCCAGTACCACTTTCCGTGCCAAGCGCAAGAAGGAGCTGGCGAAGGTATGACCCTCAGGTTGCATGCTGATCAATCGGTATAAACTTCAAGCATGTCCCTCAGATGAGAAGTGCTGCCTTTTTCGGGGGTCAACTGCATGGACAGGGAGGGGGGATTCTTTCGGCAGATTTCAGGTCGAAGGTATTATCGTCTTATCTGGGGTTGACTGGCATTCCATTCAAACAGTCATAGGGCCATAGGGCCGTAGGCACATATGGGCATTGTGGCCCCGACTGAGCTTGTGATCCGGTTCTGCTCCTCGAAGCGCCACTCGAGGCAGAGCTGAACCTCCGACGCACGAGTGTCACGGAGCCTTGCCAGCAGTGCGGGCACAAGAGAAACCAACTTCGTGATACAAGAAGAACCTGCCCTGGCTGGAAGGACATGAACTTCCGATGGCGGAACTTGCTGTGTACCACACACGCCACGGTGGTGGTCTCACCATTCGTGCCTACAGTCTGCGTTGGAGAGCAGCTGCATGTTTGTCAGGTGGGTGAGTATGCCATTGGAGTGAGGCTCAGAGAACTGCCATTGAGCTTACTTGGCCCGATTGGCTCAGCATGGCAGGCTCTACTTCGACTTGCTCCTCCTCTTGGTGATCGCCTTTGGTGTGCCGGCCTTGGTAGTGGAGATGTGGCCCATTGTGGTCGGGCAATGGCACTTGCCTGCAGGTGCTAACGGGAACAACGCTGCCGTTCTTGGTGACACTTGGTGGAAAGGCAGCATGTCTGCGGGGCGTTGTTGAGTCCATTCTTTTCATGAACTATGACCCCACTAAGCGCAAGTGTTCAGTCAGTCATGTTCAAGACATCAGCTGCAGCGCAAGCAAAGGATGTGTGGGTCCAGCTCAGGGGGAGGTCCTGTGCTGAAGCAGCCCGCTCCTCTGGTTTGCTGTCCTGCTGCATTCCAACCGAGATGGTCTGGCAATCCTCTCAGGACCGACGAGGTGCTGAGCACTTTGGCAAAGTACTCCGTTGGAAATTTGGCGAGGCAGGTCGGGCTCGTTTGCTCTGACAGTGCTGGGGGCAGTTGGCGGGACTGGGAGAGAAACCGCACAGGCCCACACCACATCCAAACCAAATCCTTCGTGCTCTTGCTAAGGAGATTTGTTTGGCAGTAGCGCGCGATTGTTTTGCACCATGATCGTGCCTGGCGACTCTTGGACTCTTGGCTCTGGCAGCAGGTCACCAGCAGCCGATGCCAGCTGCCCAGCCGCTTCCATCTCGAAATTGAGGAGAAAAGAGCACAGGCTTTTGCTTCAGGCCACGGTTCACATCATGAACGAGTTCTTTGGTTCCATGGCGCCTGAAGCCCTGCAATGGACCAATAAGGACTCCGCTGCGAACTCTCCAACTCCCAACGCTTTCCCTCGGCCCTCTGCCGAGGTTGTTAGGTGTGCTGCTGCTGTACCGCTTCGCCCACATCCAAGATGACGGTTCGTGTTTGAGAACTGGGAAATATCGCAAGTCGGAGGCTTTGCCCGCTGTGAGGTTATCATCCATCGGGCAACCTACACGGTGCCCCCAGCAAGCATGTGGAGTCATCTTGCTTCCTGCATGAGTCTGGAGCAACCCGCGGCTCTCGCACAGATTCTCTAAGATTCTGAGTGTTGTGACTAAGAGCTGACGTTGTACTCCACCCACGCAGACCAACAGCCGCAACCTAGCCAATCTCGCAGTTCAGGCAGGCTCCAAAACCTGATGCCCATGTTTCAAGTGATGTTCAACTTCAAAACAATTCAAAACAAGGGTACGGGCAGGTCCGTGGGCTCCCCACGGATTTGGGCTATCATCATCTGGGCTACGAGGAACTGCTCCGAGTAGGAGCCTTACGATTATCGCCGTGGCGCTTGTCGTGGTCATGAAAGCAAGCAGCATGCTCGGCTGAGGAGCATTTTCAGACAGTCGCCTACGAGCAAGCTCTGCGGGTGGTGCCCGTCATGTGTTTACGCCTGTGACCTTATGGACTTATGGATCATGAATTCATGAATCTACTCATTCATACCTAGTTCAATGCCTTGTCAATCGAGGTTTGGGGACCCTCAAGCACCGGCACCAATGCACATGCCAGATGGGCACAGCCAACGAGCTGGACGACCAGCCTGTGCGCGAGGCCCGCAACATGCTGCGGCCCAGTGTGAATCAATCCATCAGCAGGACAATGTATACAAGAGGGTATCACCTGAGTTTGGGATCCGAGGTGCAGGATAGTCTTCCCGAGACGCTCACCTTTTGAGCAATTTCAACAAGAGAACAACATTCTTAATGGAACCTTCTCCTACGACACATCGTCAGCATGTCGGCAATGCTAGCCAGCACGCTCTTGTGCGAAGCCCGCGATCCGCCCCCTTGTCGAAGCTCAACGTCTTCTCCAGAAACCTCGAAATCCCAAACTACATGAAGGTGGTCCTGTGGCGCAATTACGACTCGGCCGTGCAGGGTGTGCTCCAGCAAGCCTTTGCCCCAGTCTGTAGCTGTGTTGCGTGGTTTTTCGTGCGCAACGATCAGGTGGTAAGGAGCTAGAGTTTCTACAGCACAACTGAGCACAACAGTCGAGCAGGTGGAGCTGCAAGCAAAGCAGTACAGCGTCAACACAGAGCTGAAGTTCTTGGAGCAGAAAGCGAGAGAGGCGCTGCGGACTTGACTTTTGCGGCTGTGTATGCTTCTGTTGCGTCTCAGGGCCTGCAATGCACAGTCAAGGCTCTGCCTGCAAAGGACTCCTTACGCACCAAGTTCATCAAGCCCTGAAAACTCAAAACTGCCTACTAAGGCACCCAAGATAGCCCTGCATCCCTAATGCAGCTGATCTCGTGGCAGCACTCAGCATGCCAGCACAACCTCTCCGACGACCTCGAGCATGACCTTGGCTACAACGCTGGCGGTGGGCGCTGCCCTCACTCCATCAGAGCTCCATCAGAGCCAACCAAAATCGGATGCACCGAGGCTGGCCCCCACTTCGGGCTCCGAGCCCAGACAAGCAAATAAGCCCATCGGAGCATCTGTAGTGGGATCAGTGGGATCGTTGGGCGCAAGGGTTTCGGTGCGCGGGTTACGCAGTTCCTCACTGGCCATAACATGCCAGCGTAACCAAGGCAGGCGCCAGTCGACGAAGGGCCGGCAGACCATGAAGGTGATGGCGGAAAGGCCTGGCCCGAGTCTCTGCATTTTCCCCAAGAAGTGCCATTCAGCCACTTAGCGTCAGTCTGTGAAGTTACAGTGAAGTTACAATGAAGTTGGTGCCTGTCCCCTGTCCGGCAGGCAAAGTGCAGAGCTCAGCGGTAGCAGAATCCGACGCGCGGCAAAGATGAACATGGAGTCGGCTAACTGAGGCGCTGCATCGGACATGAGCGTTGGCAGGGGCCACGTGGATCGCTGCGTCGTAGCTTAGGGCACAAGCTGTTTCTCAGATGATGCCAGACAAGGCGATGACGATAGCACTGACTTCTCTCATGACGGAGCCTAAGTTCAGAATTTGGCAGAGGTGGAATGCAAAGCGCAACAAATACGCAACAAATGTGATACAACGAGAAGCACAAGATCACCGCCAAGGCAGTGACGACAACCGCAGAGCGGATGTACGACAGGATGTGTACCCGAACGGATGTGCCTCTCCCAGCATATCCCAGCATGCTCGGTCGAACAAACGCTCTGCAAAATGCCTGGCACACACGGGCACCAAGGGCGGCAGACGGCTGGCCAAGCGGCAGACCTACCTGCTTTCGATGTCAGCGTCCTAGAATTGGCGGCATCACGTTGTGCTTTTGAGCTTGTTAGCTTCAGTCAAACACGCATGGCTTGTTGGCAACGTGTTGCGATATGTCTGATCCTTTGTTCAGGAATGACCTGATCGAGGAGCAGATCCTTGAGATCGAAACGGAGCGGGCCCTGCATTCCGTCAGGGCCCTATTTTGGAGAAGCCTCCGTCACTCTCTATTAACGTTTTCTCTCAGTACCACCCTCTCACCTCTCTTTCACTCGCAGCCTTGCTCCGCACACTACACCCTTATTGCAAGGTTCAGTTTTTCAATGGTTTTGGGTGCTTGCATCTAATGGGTCCAAGGACTTGAAGCCAGATGAGCGAGAGGCAACCAGAAATGGCTTCAGAGTCAGATTGATGAGCCTTCTTTGTTGCAGCGCTTGCTGTTTGTCATGATTGGTACTTTTGAAGAGGTAATGGGCGCATTCGTGGTGTTCTGGTGCCAGCGGACTCGGGATGCTGTTCTCGGTCAGTATGGCTGGTCCCGTCGCCGCCTTGGCGAGCTCTACCATTGCTGTGCTGTGTGTGTGTGTGTGCACCACCTGCCCGAAATAGGTAGGGGCACATTGGATCTATGAGATATTCCGGGTCAAGGCTCCTGGTGTTGCCGCGCCTGTTGCCAGCGCCGGCGCCTGCGTGTGGATCCCAGCTTCTCCAGGCTCAACGATGTGGTGCCTGGAGGGCTCATGCCAGTGGAGCAGCTGAAGGAAGAGCAAGACAAAGCCACCCGCCGCGTGTCGCCATGAAAGGAGCCAGACCCCTCTCTCGTGAAACCTCGTTTTTTCCGAGGTCTCAAGCTGCCCTTTGAGGCCTGGGCGGCTCCTCTTTTGGATTTGTTTTTGGGAGAGTGGGGGAGAGGGGGGGGAGGGTTCGGATTTTCAAAGTGGGGTTGTCGTGCTTGACGGTGGTTTGAGGTGCTGAAACAGAGGCTCCCACCCTCCTTCAAAGTGAAGTTGAGTCCTCCTTCCATGGCAACCTAAAGTACTTAAAGCTTAAGCTCTAAACTTAAAGCACTTACAGCCCGCAGTCCTTCCTTGAAAGTTAGACTCAGGGGCAGGGCATGGCAGCCCGGCTTGCAGGAGAGCAGCGACGGTTCGGAGGGTGCGCCCGATGAGGAAGAAGTCGTGGCGCCCCCGGCGTTGGAAGCCTGAGCTGGGTTGCCTGGGTTTGGGCTTGTAGTGGAAGCTTCGGGGAGTGCTTCCTAAGCCAAAGAATTGCCGACCTCGTGACTGCGTCAAAGTCCCACCTTGTAGGATGTCAGGAATTTTTAGGAATAACAGAGCGACTCCTGCAAACAACTGCTGGTGTATCATTGGCAGGAGCCTGCCCTCAAGAAATCCACTGTCTGCCCATCTGAGCAGAGGCCTTCCCATTGATTGTGGAAGCCACGCAGGCTCCCTATGGCTCTCCCTGCTCACAAGCTGGTGATAGGAAGTGAGATCGACTTGCAGAAATATAAAGACATGTAAAGAAATATGCGTGCACACGTGCAGTTTGGCCGTCTTGCGGCGAGGATCCAAGCCTGCAGCTTTGGCAGAACATGGACGTGAAGCCGATGATGCGGCTGTGGCACCTGCTCACATTACCGGCAAGGGGTCGTCGGGTCGTCGTTGCCCGAGCTTACACTTCGCAGCAGATGCGCATTCTTGGCCAGGATCCGGGGCTGTATGATGAGCATTGCATGGAACTCAGAGAGCCAATTGATTGGCAGTTGCGAGCAGGTTCTGCAGCCTTAGAGTTATCCTTCCGGCAGCTTCGCCAGCCGAAAACCTAAGACGATTGAATGGGCTGAGTGTAGGGCTCCATGCAACTCACTTGAGTGTTCAGTTGTGACCAAGTGCCGCTTCTTGGTGCTCAACCTCATCTTCATCGTCGGGCCCTCTGAGCTTGCAACCCTTGGATGTTTCTGCCATTCCAGAGAATGCTTTCCCGCTGTCCACAGGTTGCCTGCATCACGGTGTCCACGCACATCTACTACCCGCTGTTTCTGCCTATCGATGCCCTGGTCTCAGCGGAAGAATGAAGCGATCTAGCTTTGCATGCCTCGCACGTGGACACACAACTGCGAAAGTGCTCAGGCCAAGGTGTGGCTGATCACGAATGTTTCAGAGCCTGTCGCCAACTCCTCCAGCAATTCTGCCGAAAGCCCAGCAACGAGTGCCCACTGCCTATTCGTGACTTCAGATATGCAGGGATTTTGCAAAGCTTGCTGCTAACTCCTGTCCAGAATGGACGGCATTTTCCTTCTTCACGCAAGGCTCCATGCTGGCGTGTCTGTGAACTGGAGCTGTTCGGTGATGAGCGCGGGTCCCTGATCCCTGTCGAGATGCCAAGATGGCCACGAGGGTTTGCTTTATTGGGCAGGAAGCTCATAATTGATTTCGGGCCTCAGAATAGCCCAAACGGTCCTTTAGATCACCGAGGCTCTGCTCCGATCGCAAGGCTCCTTACATGTTTGCGCGGCGCTGATTTCAGGGTTGAGGGCGCGGGGCTGATGGTTAGCCGGCCGTGTGCTCCGCGATTCCCCGACCTCAAACTTAGATATTCAGGGCTTTAGGTTTTGAATCGGAAGGCTCAGCAGGAAACGAATGCCCCATAGACGGTTGAGACGGTTGAGGGGAAGCCCATGCCTCGACCCTGAGCCGCCTCAACCCAGGTCTCCAGCAACGGCTTGCCGATGCGCTCCTTGGTTCGACTTGCCCTGGACATGTAGCGGTCCATGTAGCTTGTGATGGTAAACAACGGACTGTCGATAGCCTTTGACGTTTCTGAGTTTTTTGTTTGGGATTGGGGTGACTGGCTGACACTATGCTCACTGTGCCTCATGACTCATGTGATGCCTACTAAGTCAGGCCACGATGCCGGGTTGCAAGCCGTGGGCGATCGCAATCTCGCAGGGGGAAGCATGCCCGGGCCGTGGCTCTCTTCGAATTGAGCTGTACGGGCCCAGGGTAATTAAACTTCTTGAGGGCTTTCCCGACTTTGGGGCTGGAAGTTTATAGGGCCTGGGTTTCACAATGTGTCGCTACTCTTATGTCCGCGTTGTGGCAAGGACCTTTCTGTGACGGGTCTCTGTGCGTCGAACTTTCTTGTCTTTCCTGCAAGACAAAAAGACAGACAGCAGAGAGAAAGATACAGACAAGGATGCGAGCGAGGGGTGACAGAGCAATGAGCGGGGCAAGGAAGGCCTCGTCCTTTTGCCCATCTTCAACTCTTTGAAAACCAAAGAAGAGACAATAGGAAGAAGGAAAGAGAAGAGGAAAAGCAAAAACTTTGGGAAACCGCGAATATCAGCGTGCAGATTTCCCTACGTTTCTCACTATCAGGCTTTGGGCTGGGGCAACCGGGAACAGCGCGAGCAGACGCTCGGGCATCCTGTCAAAGTGCCAGAAACACTGATTCCATGACATATGTCTTCTCTTGTGTGTGGAAATGCAATCTGAAGCGCGCAGAGAGATGACGGAAAGACAGAGAAAGATAGATGAGAGTGCGAAAGGAGGGAAGACAGAGAAGGAAGAAGGCTGAGAGGTTTTAGGCTGAGCAGTAGCGAAGTTTCTTTCTTTTAACTGCCCATGCAACTGTTTGAAGACCCAAGAAGAGAAGCGAGGACGAACGAGAAAGGAGAAGAGTGGAGAACAGAAATGACCCGAACAATCAAAACTCACTTTTTCGGCTTCGGACAACCGAGAATACTGCGAGTTGCCTGTTCACAAATCGGTGCTGTCGGCTCGCACCTTTGCTACATGAAAGATGGAAGAGGAGTGGAGAGGAGAGGAAGGGATTACCATATTATTTCCCTCCCCTGAATCCCCCTATCAATGAAACTGTGCCAGAAAACCTACTGCGGATGAATGGACACACCCAAAAGATCTGGCAAAAGGTGTATCAGCGACTGGAGATCCTCGAGCTGCTGGGCCAGGGCCCCTGATCCCTTTTAGACCTTTCCGTTGAAGTAGCTAGTGCCTTGCTTGGAGCGGAAATTCGTCCCGACGCGCTCTGCTCCAGGAGGGTGGCCCAGTTAGGGTGGAGCAAAAGGAACGCACATGCAAGCTACAAGCATAGAAAATACCACAGCAGTAGCTATTTTGGTGCAGTCCCGAAGAGCATGGGCTGGTTCGATGACAACTTCGGTGACTTTCTTGGATTTGACATGGGGGATGACTGCGACATGGACGAAGGGGAGTGTGTCCACTGCGGTCGGAAGGGCATGCGCTTTGAAGCTGCCATGGATAAGGGCGTCGACTGGGACTCATATACAAGCCACCCCGATGCTATTCGCACTTGCCCCAAGTGCAAACGCGAGCATAAGTCTTGTATGACAGAAGTCATGGCAGTGAAGAAGTACGGCGTCCTGAGCCAGGGCGATATCTTTGCACAGCTGCGAGTCCAAGGAAGGTACTTCACCCAGACACCCACCACTATGTCGGGCATTCAGGCCCGTAAGATCGTGTACTTCTGGGTGGTAGACCTCGAGGAGGCAGCAGAAAAAAAAGGTTGGCAACCAAAGGACAGCTCCAAAGCAACCAAACGTACCAGGGCAAGCGTTGCTGAGATGTCAGAGTTGCCTCCAGCTAAAGCGCCGGCGATTAATGCAGACGGGAAGCCCGTGCGCAGGTGTGGAATTTGTCGGCAGCCGGGGCACAACAGAACCAAAGCAGTACTTGGGAACATTATGCCTTTGCTGCACGTACCCTGAACAGTGTCTGAATAATCCGAACGATTTTAAATGCGATGCCACGTTGCACACATTGCTTTCGGCAGTCCCTAGACCAACCCAGGAACAAAGTGTCCACAAAAGGACAGTACCACAAGAGCAGGCGCCACACCGGCTGTCACGAAGTGTCCTGCCACAGCCCCGCAAGCTCAGCAGCAGGCAAGTCCGACAGAGGCAAGCTTAAAGCGGTGGTCATTCGCCGATCGCCCTCCAAACAGCCGAGCAGGGTCCAACTTGACTGAAGCCGCGCGTCGTGGAGACACTGCCGAGGTCAAGTCCATTGTGGAAGACCGCATCGGCAAAGGCTTTATGCACTATCCCGATTACTTGTTGAATTACAGCGCCAAATACCACGAGGTCGATTACAAGATGGGGGGATACACCAAGGAGTGGGACTGGTTCAAGTACACTCCCATCGTGGCTGCGGCCAAGAACGGCCACGTCGAGTGTGTTAGGCTGTTGCTGCTCAATGGTGCCTGCCCCGTGACTTGGTACCAGTCACCGAATTTTCACCTCCTGGAAGTCACAAATGTTGCTACCGCGACTCTTGAGCATGCAAGGTGCTGCAGTGCTGTGAGATCGATGATGTTTGCGAGGATGCCTTGCAGGCGGCAAGCGGCAAGGGGGGCAACTGGACTCAAGAGTAGAATTTTCAAATTGAGGAAGTATAGTTGGAAAACGCTCTGTGCAGCTCGTTAAACAGAGAACCTTTGGCATGCTGCAGACGTGCTTTCTTCATCCCGGAGAACTATTAAATGCACACTGAGTAGGCTGGATGCAGTCGTCTTCCACCGCCGAGCTCGATAAGCTGGAACGGGGAGAGCAGCTAGCAGGCTGCAGGAAGCTGTTCTTTTCATTTTTTCGTGGTTCTTATATGCGAGTTGCGCCATGACTGAACAGCAGCTGCCAGATTCGAAGTGCACTTTTGAGGCTGCAATCCTACAGCTCCTTGATGCAGCAGGTGAGGAACGAGAGCTGCCACACAGTGATCCGCAATGCACTGGCTCGCGCGAAGAAATTCGTAGAAATTGAAGCAATGATCAAGGTTGCCTTGCCTTTCTGGAATCACGTCACAGATCGGAGTGCTCACTGGAGTGAGAAGGCAGCTCGAAACAGCAAGCAACTGCTCCCCTCGAACATGACCGATTTGCACACTGCTGTGGCAAGCTTCACTTTTCAGGCAGACGACCGTTTTTCAGACGTGCGGGCCGAACAGCTTGCGCTGAAACTGGAAGCGGAGAAGCGGCGCCTCTTCCCACACCCCGAGCCACAGCTGGCAAGAGCGGGGCATCCGGGGAGATGGCAAAGAGCAAAGTCTTTGCCCACGCCAGCGTTGCCAGCGTTGCCAGCTTTGCAGTTGCCTGGGGCTGCCAGCTGGAGATACGAGCAGCCCAGGCTAGTCGCAGAGAAACCAGTCGGATACCATGGACCCTGTCTCCAGATCCAAGCAAAGTCGAAAAAGTTGTTTGTTTTTGGTTGTGATTTGTGCCACTTACTTACATTGATGTGTTTTGTTCTATGTCGCAACAACTGAGGTTTGAGCTGTCGGAAGAACACTTGCGCCCACAACTGCACATTCGGATGGTGTGGCAAGTGTTGCCATGGGAAAGGCTGTGCCCGGCACCGCTGACGAGAACAATCATACAGCGGATGGCCCGCAAACTTTACCACCCATGAGCTCCCTCGACTTTCAAGGCCTCCGGAATAGAGTCCGCCACGAAGCCACGGAGGCTCGCACATTGGACTCATGGCGCCTTCAGCGGTGCTGGTGGTGCTGTTGGGGTCGGGTAGCGCCCTGCACCGGTGAAGCTTACTGCTGGTGTCCAAAAAGGCCAGGACTCTGTCTTCAGAGCTTTTCCAGAAAGATCTTGTCGAGTGCCCAAAACATACTTCGAAGTTTGTTCAAGGCACGTGAAGATTGAAGATGTGGGCTTAGGACGCCATAAACTTGGAGTCCGCGCAGCAGAGCTGCCACGAAGGCAAAGGTTGTTCGGTAAGGAGCTTAGTGTGGTGGAGGGACATCCTGGAGCCAGTGACACGTGGCCCTTCTTTTTCAGATGCAGATCACGGTTGCTTACTCTTTTTTGTTCACTTTCGAAGTTGACGCACAAAGGCCAGCCGGCGTCTGGAGAGCGAGGATCCACCAAGCCCGCGCATCGAGGACCTCGAGGACAGAAACAGGGAGGGGGGTGAGCCCCCCGAGAGCCACCTCCCAGCAGTCCCGAAGATTGCGAGGTGTCTTAGTTTCCACTTTCCCGCGTAGGAGCCTCGAACAGATCCATGGCGCCTCGGAAGCAGGAGCTACGGAGGGACCCCCAATGAACCCCATTCATGGTAAAGAGCCGCATGTGGTCCCAACCTCAAATGCAGAGGAAGATTCTCACACTTGTGACAAGGTTGCCCAACGAGCCGGAAGAGGCGAGCTCCAGGCTGCCTGGCCGCATGCCCTTACCCCTTGAGACGTGCTGCACTGCAAGCGGCACTCGTTGTCGTGACCCTGGTGGAGGAAGCGTGTATCTTTGCATCGCATTCTGAGTTTTGTCCACAGCTCCTAAATGATATCTGCTTGGGCCTTGTGAGTTCGCATCTTGACCCCCGCCCTTTCTCGCCAATGACATATGTCACCTGTTCCGTGAATGGCCAGGAGGCTTTCCACGGTCTGCCCATGGGTATCTGCAGGCGGCGAGCTTGTTGTTCTACGGGTAGTGCTGGTGCGACATTGTAAGCTGTCTTACATGCGTGTACATTCTTCAACAAGGCGGTTACAACCTCAGCCTGATTACGTACACAATCCGATACCAGACCAAGAGCGCGTCGCCGGTGCCTGAGCTTGGCTTGGCAAATGTGGGCCTCACCAGGGCCGTGATCCGTTTCCCCCATTCGCGAGACATCTCACGACATCCCTCGCGACACGACACCACAACAGGCTAGCGGGAACCACTGCAACTCAGACATTGCTGAAGACGGCCCTCGCCAAAGTGCCTGGCACAGCTGAGGAAGAGTGGTGTACTGTGGGTACAATGCTTTGTGCTTTCAAATCCGGACACGTTGGCTCCCAGGCCCTGAACGTGGATCCAACGACGTTGTCCGACACTTCAAGCCTGGGGCTTTCGGTTTCTCTTTTCCCCAGATGTTTCAGTTCAGACGTTTCAGGAGAGTCGTTGTTGTTGTGATAGGTGTGCGACATCCGCATGTCTTCTTCGCGGCGGCCTCGTGCCCTTGTGGGGCGGCTCTTGCACCCATGAGTTCTGTTCAAAACACGACTGTAAGGTGCAGCCACCCGACCTCGCCAGTCTCCCTTCCCCGGTCCCGCGCTCGGTGGTGTGTTTTTGCCGTTTGCAGGTTGCTAAACGCACTGCTTGCTCGAGGTTGCAGGAAGTGGTTGCCTGGTCCTGACACGCTGACTGGTGAAGTGGTGACGTGGTGACGCTGTAGCTGTCATACACCAGCAGCTGCAGGTGGTGACTCGCCAGACGCAGCCTCGCAACTCCTGCAGTGGCTGGGCTTGTCTGGGCCGCATGCCAAGTGAAAGACTCGTCCTTGTGTGACCAGTCGCCACATTGTATTTCAAAGTTGCGCGACGCGGCCTGCACAGAGATATGCAGAGATGCTTGTAAACCTTATGCTGACCTTTTGCCACCTCGAGCCGGCTGTGTTCGGCTGTTTTGGCGTGACGGTATGGTCCTGAGGCCGGCATCCCGGGCATTGACATCATGCAAGGACATCTCTGGCACTGCCCCCCGGTTACTACTGAACTGTCCCCCCTCCTCGCCCCAAGCAGACCAAGCTGACCCCATCATCAACTTCGGCTAGGACTTCGCCCGCATGGGGCTGCTGGGGGTGCCTTTCTGCTCCAATGTCCCGCAAAGCTACCGCTGCCTCTGCATGGCACTCGAAGGAGAAGGATGTCGCGGATTGTCGCGTTGGGGGCTTCGCAAGTTCCGGCTGCCTTCCGCCACCTGACCCTAAGGTGCGGAGACTTGTGGATGCCCCTGTGCGTCCGCCACCTGCGACTGCGAGGCAGGTTCGAACTGCGTCAAACGGGAGAAGCAGCAGCAGGGTGCACAGTGGACACGCAGCTTTCGCTTTCCCTGCCTTCTCGTTGTAAGTCGTCGTAACTTAGTAGCCAACCCATTCCAAATTCATGTCACTCATGTTGCTTCATGTAGCGTGATGTGACTATATCCTCAAAAGAATCGATCGTTGTTTGCGCTGGAACAGCACTATTCGGTGTCATCCGGTCGTTATGTGGACGCGCGTTTCCAGATGTTTTCAGACTCTGAACCTGTTTGGCCTGCTGCGTGAGCGAGAGGTTCCCGCAGATGGCGTTGCCCTCCTTCCGCTTCCAGAGCCCGGCGAGGCCTGTGGCCTGTGGAATTGCTCCTTCGCTCCTTCGCGCCTCTCATGACATGTTCGCTACGCTCCAACTCTCCCGAAACCACTCAACAAACAAACTGCCCAACAAAACGACGCCTCGGTGAGAGACAGTTTTTTTTGTTGATTTTCAGGTTGTCACATGGGAGACGGACTTACGCATCTGCTCAGCAGATGGCGACCAGCTGTCTGCTCTTACGTGCCGGATGCCTGGCACCACATACGCATCACAACTTAAGGCAATGGTAATGGTAGTCGCTTGTGTAGATAACAATACGTCGAAGTGAAGTTCAAGTCGGACAGCGCCCAACCCGAATGTTTGCAGTGCAAAAGGTGGCTTCACGGACATCTTCGACACGAGGCAGTCAGACGCCTCGCTGGCGAAGACCTGAGAAGAACTGGGTTCATTCAGATCTCCAAAGACAGGGGGATCAAGGGCCTCAAAGGGCCAGAACAAATGGAAACTGCAATGCTTCAAGAACATTCCAGAACATACAGCACCCACAGACAGAGCAAAGTACAAATTCCTTCACGCCGGCTCCAAGGCTGCCACCGCAACTGCTTGGCTGCAATCGCAGCGAGAGACTGCCGGGTCCCCAAGGGCGGGAGGGTTGTAGGATGTTGCAGCCGCCGCAATCCAGCGCTGGCACAGTGCGCCGAGTATTAGCCAAGCAATTATCGAGCTTTGAAAAAATACATAAAAATACCCAACCGCCCAAAACAACACCAAGAAAAGATCACTCAATCTATATATACTCAGGCTGAACCTTGGATCCTAAAGCTTAATAGCTTTTGATGCCTATACATGTTTCCATGTATACATGTATGTAGACATGCAAACATGTATAATGTGTACATGTATGCACATATACAGGTATACATGTACAGATGTATATATGTGTATATGTATATATGTAGATATGTATATATGCATATATGCATATATGCATCTATGCATCTATGCATATATGCATATATGCAAATATGTAAAAATGTATAAAGGTATATATGTATATATGTATATATGTATATATGTATATATGTATATATGTATATATGTATATATGTATATATGTATATATGTATATATGTATATATGTATATATGTATATATGTATATATGTTTAGAGGTATATGTAGCTGTAGCTGTAGTTGTGGTTGTAGTTGTTGTTGTCGTAGTAGTTGTCGTAGTAGTAGTCGTCGTCGTCGTCGTTGTTGTTGTTGCTGTCGTCGTAGTAGGAGTAGGAGTAGGAGTAGGAGTAGGAGTAGGAGTAGGAGTAGGAGTAGAAGTAGAAGTAGGAGTAGTAGGAGTCGGAGTCGGAGTGGAAGTAGTGGGAGCAGAAGGAGGAGAAGGAGTAGTAGGAGTAGGAGTAGTAGGAGTAGTAGTCGGTAGGTAGGCAGGCAGGCCCAGGCAGGCAGGCAGGAGGGAGGCAGGGCAGACAGGGCAGGCAGGGCAGCCAGGCAGGCAGGGCAGTGGGCAGGGCACCGCAGTCAGGGCAGGCCAGGTCAGGGCAGGGGTCAGGGCAGGCCGGCCAGGGCAGGCCAGCCAAACCAGGCAGGAGGGGAGGCCAGGCAGGCCAAGGCAGGCAGGGCAGGGAGGGAGGTAGGTAGGGAGGTGCTGGAGGTAGGTAGGTAGGGGCAGCTGGGTTGGTAGGGAGGGTCAGTAGGGTAGGTAGGGTGGGTAGGGTAGGTAGGGTAGGCAGGGCAGGAAGCAGGAAGGGCAGGCAGGGTAGGCAGGGTAGGTAGGGCAGTAGGTAGGTAGGAGTAGTGGAAGGAGTAGTAGGAGGAGTAGTAGTTGTTCTTGTTGTAGTGGTTGTTGTAGTGGTTGTTGTAGTAGCTGTTGTAGTAGCTGTTGTAGTAGTTGTTGTAGTAGTTGTTGTAGTAGTTGTTGTAGTAGTTGTTGTAGTGGTTGTAGTAGTAGTAGAAGTAGCCGCCACGGATCAGACGGCCGGGCACATGCATCCTGGAAACTGGGCTTTGGGCGCAACTGCTGTCCTAGAGGTTTCAACCAGTCCTCAGGGGAACGTAACAGCTTGTGCCTTACGGTGAGCCATGATGAGCCGAGATCTTTGAGCCGTCTGATCTGCCGGGTCCCAATTCCCGGGCCTCCTGAGCACAGATTTCGCAGTCACTGCAGTCTTTCAGGGGGTAGGCGAGAGGGTTTCCACTGCTCCGCGAGGTGGAAGGAGTACCCACAAGAAGCAAAACGCAGACTGTTTCAGGTGGGGAAAAGATAGCGGATGGCGGTACCTTCGA